AAACTGTATAATAGAGTCCGTTATAGAGAATTAGGAAGGGAAAATTTCCCACTCACAATTTTAGGAGCTAATATGAAATAGCTCAATATCTGCGCTCTTGGGGTCCGTAAAGGCGACCCTCACCCTTCTTGTGTATAGATGTCCTTGATTTCCTATAGAAGTAGAAACCGTATATGGTGCAGTATCGTAATAATTTTCAATGTGAGATAAATATAAAATGTAATACTCACAAAATTAGAGCCATCCAGATCGGCTCTAATCCACACACTTGTGTAGTTAAGGACTACACACCTTCTTTGTAAAAAATAAATAAAAAGTAGCAGGGAAATGCCAATGTATAATATAAAAGATTAATAATTTTATTGTAACGGTAATTGTATAAAAATATATATATATATATAAAAAACAATAAAAAACAATATCAAATTGGCATAAAATCCAAAAGTCCAAAGTCTCACAGTCTCTCCAGTACGCGTTTCGCCTTACAGGCTTCCTCAGCTGGATGTGGTGATTCAAACTTCCCATGGATCCTCCCTGCTATATGTACCCCTCTCAGGGGTGAGATAATTAGTGTCCAGGCTTGTATTTTCGCGGGCAATCACCATAGAGATGGTGACGCCCTGCGTTTCAAGCCTTTTTTCTATTTATTTCCGGGTTTTCTGTTCCGTCGCGTCATACGTTTATTTATGGCACTCATGGCTGGGGGGAAAACTTGGTTACCTATGGTCGTTACATTGACAATATTTTTTTTGTATGGAAAGGAGAAGAAAAAAATCTTATTGAATTTTTAAATTTTTTAAATGAGAATACCTGGGGTATAACGCTCAGTAGCAATTGGAGCAAGACGGAAATAAACATTGATTTAGTAATATACATTGAAGAAAACAAGATTAAAACTAGAAACTATTTTAAGACGGTAGAAGCTAATAGCTACATAGAGAGAGAAAGTTGCCACTACTCTCCGTGGCTTGAGAATGCCCCCAGAGGACAGTTTTTACGTATTAGGCGTAATTGTACGGATCTGTGTTTGAGACCCAATCTATTAAAATTAAAGAAGATTTTATAGAGAAAGGATACGAAGAGTTAAAATTAGAAATGGCCAGGAAAGAAGTAAGGATGACAGAAAGAGAGAAACTTTTGAAATATAAGGATAAAAGTGAAAATACATCTATGGAACTCCCTTTTATATGCAACTTTAGCACAGATAACAAAAAAGTGAGAAAAATAATCTCTAAGTTCTGGCCAATTTTATTACAAGATCCAGGTATAAAACCTTTTCTTCCAGAAAGACCTAAATTTATACACAGAGGGGTTGACAATTTACGCCATTCTCTGACTTCAAGCTTTTTAAAGGAAAAGAAAAGTACGAATACTTTTTTAAATTCGGATAAGGGATTTTTTGGGTGTGGCCAATGCTTAGCGTGCAAAAGGTCTAATAATAAAAAAAAGGCATATAAAGCTTTTTAGAGATAAAGATGGTAAAGAATATCAAATTAAAGATTTTCTGAGTTGCCACTCAAAAAACCTCATTTACTTAATGATCTGCCCTTGTGGTCTATGCTATATAGGGAAAACCACCAGACCCCTACATATCAGAATTGAAGAACATAGTCGTAACATTTTAAAAGGTTTTGAAAAACATAGCGTTTCTTTACACTACAAAATTGCACATAAATGCGACATGAAAGACACTACGTTTTTAGGAATTATAAAAGTCAAAAAGGATTGGAGGGGAGGCAACTTTGACAGCAAAATGAGTAAAATTGAGATGGAGTGGATCTTTAAATTAAATACTTTAATCCCGAATGGTCTAAATGCAGACTTCGAGATGTGCCATTTTTTAAAATAAATGCAAAATTATTTTATGGTTGCACTTATACCTCCCTTTATTGAATTATGACCTTCTTCCCCTTTCCTTTTTTTTTTTTTTTTTTCCCCCCTCACTTTCTTTCTATTATGTGAGCATTGACTGGACTATGTTTCAACTTTTACTATATATTATATTAAGATAATATCTGGAATTAGACATTTATAAGGCTTTTAAATGTTGTATAACAACTGATTCATTTATTAATATCTATTATCTCTTAAGAATTCATCTTTTTAACAATGACATAAGATCACAATATGCCTGTAAAATGGTCATCTTGTATTAACACACTTGTATAAGAAATAGGAATAGAAGGGTTTGGATGTACTAATATAAGGCTTGTATATGTTTGATAAAGAAAGCTTGCCAATTCCACATATATGTTAAACTCATTTAAACTTATATTTCCCCTCAAAAACCGCCGACCCGGAAATCCTGGGGAAATAAATGGTGAACCGCATGGTGGAACGCATAGTGAACCGCATGGTGGAACGCAAGGAAGTGACGTATCGGCGAAACCGGAAATGACGCGACGGAACAGAAAACCCGGAAATAAACAGAAAAAAGGCTTGAAACGCAGGGCGTCACCATCTCTATGGTGATTGCCCGCGAAAATACAAGCCTGGACACTAATTATCTCACCCCTGAGAGGGGTACATATAGCAGGGAGGATCCATGGGAAGTTTGAATCACCACATCCAGCTGAGGAAGCCTGTAAGGCGAAACGCGTACTGGAGAGACTGTGAGACTTTGGACTTTTGGATTTTATGCCAATTTGATATTGTTTTTTATTGTTTTTTATATATATATATATATATTATACAATTACCGTTACAATAAAATTATTAATCTTTTATATTATACATTGGCATTTCCCTGCTACTTTTTATTTATTTTTTACAAAGAAGGTGTGTAGTCCTCAACTACACAAGTGTGTGGATTAGAGCCGATCTGGATGGCTCTAATTTTGTGAGTATTACATTTTATATTTATCTCACATTGAAAATTATTACGATACTGCACCATATACGGTTTCTACTTCTATAGGAAATCAAGGACATCTATACACAAGAAGGGTGAGGGTCGCCTTTACGGACCCCAAGAGCGCAGATATTGAGCTATTTCATATTAGCTCCTAAAATTGTGAGTGGGAAATTTTCCCTTCCTAATTCTCTATAACGGACTCTATTATACAGTTTGCACTATGTTTGGTTTGTCTGTTTTTTATGTCTTGTAGAATTTATACTCTTATGTGAATATAAAGACATAAGGAATATTCAAGGTAGTATTGATATATATCAAGCTTTTTATCACTACCCTTCTATTTAAATATAGCGCTACACCACAAGAGTTTTTGGGTAATTAAATTATATAGTAACGCATACTCACACACAGACAATCTTACTGATGCACACAAATAGGCTCATTGACAGACAATCTCAATGACACACACAGACAAGGTTACTGGCACACACACAAATTTAGTAGACAAACTCTGATACACACACAAGCTTACTACAGACAAGCTGTCACACACATGCTCCCTACAGAAGAGCTCATTAACACACACACACACACATATTATCCCTACTGACAAGCTCACTCACTAGCAGGCACACACACACAAACTTACTAGCAGGCACACACACACAGAGGCTCCCTCACTAGCAGATGCGCATGCACACACACACACACACACAGAGGCAGACAGTCACTGACAACGAGGAAAACATCCACACATACAAAGACAGGCAGACAGCCACACACACACACAGGCAGACAGCCACACACAGGCAGTCAGACGCACACAGTCAGTCAGATGCACACAGTCAGTCAGACACACACAGTCAGTCAGACGCAGGCAGTCACTCACTCACACACAGGCAGTCACTCACTCACACGCAGGCAGTCACTCACTCACAGGTAGACAGACACACACAGTCACACACAGGCAGTCACACACAGGCAGTCACACACAGGCAGTCACACACACACACACAGACAGTCACACACTCACAGACAGTCACAGGAAGTCACACACACACACAGTCACACACTCACAGACAGTCACACACAGACACACTGGCCTCCCCTCCCCCTAATACACTGCTGACCCCCCTCCCCTAATATACTGCTGACCCCCCCCCTTCCCCTCCCCAATACATTACTGACCCCCCTCCCCTCGAGGGAGGCACCTATAAAACGCTCTGAACATCTGAAATTTGTTAGTGAAATATAACACCAAATTGTTGATCATTTTCAGACAATATTGCACTATGTTTTATCCTTTATTCTAGGTACATTAGCAGAATCCCTAAACTACCTACCTTTCATATATCTATACTGTATGGTTATCATCTGGGAGATCACTTTGGGAAGCTCTGTACTTATAAGTTAAGTTTGTGTATTTTATTTTATTTGCACATTCACTTAAAAATCACAGGTGGATTTGCAGTCTCTTAGAGAAAATATACATATATACATTGTGTATTAAGTCCTGGAGCTTACGATTCTAATTGTCCTCTCAATGAACTCCACCCATTTCCGGTCATAAAAAGCCAGCTTGCTTCTCATGTATTGATTGATATTACAGTGCCATCTCTATTGTCTTATACATAGCATGCAAGGAAGCACGCTTTACATCTATAGCATGATAATGGATATCTGGGAATGAAAATCACATGTAAATGAAATGACAAAGTCAGAGACAAAGTGTTGAGCAGCCAGTTAGGGCACAGTGCTAAAACACTGTTGTGACTTTGAATATTTATTGATTTATTTAGGAGTTCCTTAAATTTAGCAAATTATAAAAGTGTTTCAAAGGGGAAAAAAAAGTGTAATTAGGCAAACTAATAAAAAAAACTATAAAGCTATGAGAGTAGATAGTCATGTTGTTCATGTATTAGCCTACTGCCTCGCTTAGGGGAATGGAAGAACTGGTAAAAATCAGCTATTTCATGTAAAATAATATTTCATTATCATTGGATTCCTTAGAGTTAAACTTTGTTACATTACAGGGAAGTGCTGTTGTTTGTAATAAAGAAAGAGAAGGATGGAGCAGGTGGATGTATTAGTTAATGGGGGGAGGTTATGGATAAAGAGGAGCGAGGAAGGAGGAGGGAGGCAGAGACTGTGACGTGCTGCATCTCGCATTTGCTGCTCTGAGTGTTCAGCAGACAGCCTCATCTCCTTTCTCTGCAGAGGTAAAGGATACCCACCCACCCCTGTATCCAAACACCCAGCACATAAACTACCTCCCACCCTCCGGCCATTCTTTCCCATCCCGACTTGCCACCAGTCTCTGCCAGCATGACTGAGACCGCCAAAACCCACGTTATCCTGCTGGCCTGTGGCAGCTTCAATCCTATCACAAAAGGACATATTCAAATGTTCGGTGAGTTATTTTGTATTCTCTTATTCTATTCCATTTCTTTTTCTTTCTCCCTCTCTCTCCCTCTTATAGTCTAGTCTCCTCTGAATCAGCATCACTAAAGAACATTTTTTTATTATGATGATCAGATTTAGCCTTTAATCAAGGGACACATAAAAAATGCATTATAAAATACATTTCTCATACCTCCTTTCAAGGGCACCTTATTTAATATGCATCAATCCAGACCTTTCCGGTTCTCGTTCCTCCCTTTAAATGCCTATTTCTCCTATCTGTCTATTAACCTGGTCCATGAGGTTTTTTTTTCCATTGCGTCTGTTTCAATGGCATTGCTCCACGACAGAGCATGCAGCGTCAACAGACCCCCCTTTTTTTTTCTACAAACCCCAGGGAAAGGGAGGGCAAAGTATGGGAATATAATGATTGATGTATCTCACTCCCCATTTATGCTTCTGTTTAAAGACCTGGATTCTTGCAGTTCTCCATTTTGTCTTCAGTCATTAAATGGTTAAAAGGACAATGCCACCAGGGAAACTGTTAATAGCTCTCTGCAAGTCTCCATGGCAGACAGCGGATAAAGGAAGCAATTCTGAGCATTGATGAATTTATGCATGATTACAGATCACAACAAAGGGATTCTAGAGCAAATGTTCTAAAGGAAAATGTTTGGGAATGGCATGCACTGTCCGCTTAGCTAGATTTGATTGGGTTATATCATTCTGCAATAGACAAACGATACCACTCAGATTTCTGTTGATGTCTGACCTAAGCCATTGGAAAATCCAGTGTTACCTATCCTCAGTTTTGAGGCAACAGGGATAGTTGTTCGTATCTGTTTAAATTGTGATGCTTGTTGTTTTGTCATTTATATTGTGTGTTCTTGGGGCATAACAATATGCCACTCATTTGATTTCAAAGTGAATTTAAGATTTAAGCCTAAATAGCCAAATTGAAAATTGAATTGACTTGGAGATTTATAAAATTTTTGGGGGATATTCTGGCCTAAAAATATAAAAATTCTCTTTGAATTCCTGGAAATTCAAACTTTAGTGAATAACCCTGTGATAGTGAGAGCATTGGTGGAAATTCTGCGCTAGACACATGATTGTGACGGTTTTCAATGTCCCAAAAATGTCAGATCAGATTTTTCTTATGCTACTTAGGTTTGCATTGACAAAAGACATTAAATGGTTTATTAAGGAAACTGTGAATTGTGGTAATCTGGCAAGGGAATTGGAAAGCGTAAAGGAACACTGTAGGTTAAGGAATACACATCTGTATTCCTGATGCCCTTTGTCATGTCAGCCCCCATATGTGGGGGAAATAACCTAAAATAAATCAAATAAGTCACTTGGCTCTCCCGCAAACTCCTTCTCAAATGATGTCCTTCTGGAGGCTTGCCTCCATGATGACAGGCCAATCCAGTACTCCCCAGAGAGGAACATTAGTGAATGTAGCCAATGCGCTTGCGATTCTATGAAGACCATGATGCCACTGTGCGCATGCTCATGATGTCTGGGTATGGTAGGGTATGAGAGCCAGGAAACACCAAGCCGTCAAATTACTAAGCTATTGAGCTTTGGGATGGTAAGGAGGGAGGAACTAATGTAGGCACTATGATAACCTTATCTAGATGAAGTAGTTATAGTGAGTACAGTGTTCCTTTAAATCAAATTTGGAAAAATTTGTTCTGATTCAACTTCCATTCCGACTGTGCTACATTATGCTATTTTTTTTGTCAATTCCTTATGAGTCACAGTTTAATCAATAAACCACTAGTGATTTTCAATGAGAAAGAGTGTAGAATAAAGGACAGATCAGAACAGCCTCAAGGTAAACCTAGCTATAAAATACAATGGCTTCAGTTATTGCTGTACAGTTCTAGAGTATACATTATCCACCAATGCTCCCCAGTAAAAGGGAGATATAATTATCATTTGACAGACATTTGTCTTGTAAAATGTGTGTGTCAATAATGGCTAAATACTTACTGCACTTATAGTCACAGCTTAAATATGGGCAATTTAGAGAGACTCTAAGAGAAGAAAGTGACGGTTATTTATGTAAAGGTAAATTTCAAATTGAAGGATAGAGAATCAGAACTGGAAGTGCATCTGACTTAGAGAATTGTTCCAATTTGGCTTTTTACCTTTCATTAGAAATTCACTTTGAATTCTCACTTACACTAAACCGTCAGTTTTCGGGAATCCATCAAAGAATTTAATATTTTAGACTTAAATATCCGTGCTGGAAATATATCAGAAACTGAGACTTTTCTGTTTCTGCTATTTTGGCCTACAATTTACAATCCCTGGAAAATACCTGTCAGTTTCCTATGGGATATATTCACTAAACAACAAATCATTGTTGCAGAATTGCTTTTTTAACTGAAATGTGCTAATTTAGGAAAATTCTCTAACTCGGATATCGTGTGACCAGTTTGGTAAATTTTGACTCAGTTTTCCTTTCAAATCACTATAATTCATTGTTTAATGAATAAACCATTCACTAGAATGGGAAAGGTAGATAATTGAGTGAATTCTATATTTTAGCCATACTTTTGAAGTTGAAATAGTATATTCAGTTGTGCAATACTTCCAGTTTGATCTCTAAAATTACTATTTATACTTCACAGTTTCCCGCCTGATCACTCAGGTGATCACATATGGATCAATATCTGCTTTTAGGCTACAGAGTTTCTGATGTAAAACCCATGTGTTATTTAATATTAAAGACCCATGGTCATTTGGCATTTGTTTGCAAAATAATAGTTAACTTTTAATATTCATACCGCATTCAGATCATTCTGCTCTGATTACTACACTTTGACAAATTAATGATGTGTATGTGAGTATAATGGAAACATTTTATTACTACTGTCAATATGGAGACTACAGCCTAACAACCCTGCTTACAATTCCACTCCAATTCTGTGAATATAATATAAAGCATATTCATTGTCGCATTTTTGTATGTAATCCATCAGGTTACTGGTAGACCCTGAGATAAAATATCAGTGTTTAAATGTGTATGCTATGCTGATATAGAACATTTGTTTACAGAGAAGATATACAATTAATATAAGTATCAAGAGTATATAAATGTACCGAATACAAGAAGGAGGCATATTTTCACATTCTGCCATCTAGATTGTCCATGATCATCATAGTCTAAAGATAAGTACTCATGTCTTCCACATTTCCTTTGGGAAGTATGCGCTGAGCAATTTTTATTGTAGGTAATCACTCACATTGAGTAAACCGGCGACATTTGTTGGGTTGTTTTTGTCAACGCACAAAACGTTGATCCACTGTAATAAAGAGTTCTGAATAAAACCACTTTTATTTTTACTGAAATAGCAAAGCAGGAATTGGGCTAACGGCCTGCAGAGTTATTTACTAAGAACTACTGAGAATTGAAAGTTAATTTTAAATTTAAGGCCAAAGTAACCGAACTAAAAGCATAGCTGAGTTGGAGAATTTTTCCATTTCAGTAATTTTGACCTTCAATTTAAATTTCACTTTGCAGTCTCTCTTTAGTAAATAAGCCATCAAATGCACAAATTGAATTGATTGTGTGCCTGTTAAGTTGCTTACTCATAAGTAGTCATCTATCACATGTCCAGCTATTGGTTTAGAATGGACTGGGAGAACCTTTCTATATATGCTTGTGTTATATTCACCTTATTCTTTTGTTACAATGTTGGTTATACACTGATCAGCCACAACATTAAAACCACTGACAGGTGACATGAATAACATTGATTATATTGTTACAATGGCACCTGTCAAAGGGTGGGATATGTTAGGCAGCAAGTGAATAGTCAGTTCTTTAATTTCATGTGTTGGAAGCAGGAAAAATAGGCAAGAGAAAAGATCTGAGTGACTCTGACAAAACGGTAAGTCTTTTGGAGTGTTCCAGTATGCAGTGTTTAGTATCTACCAAAAGTGGTGCAAGGAAGGGAAACTAGTGAGCTGACATCAGGGTCATGGACGCCTAAGGTTCATTGATGCTCGTGGTGAGTGAAGGCTAGCCTGTCTGCTCCGATCACACAGAAGAGCTACTGTTGCTCAGATTGCTGAAAAATGTAATGCTGGCCAAGATAGAAAGGTGTCAGAACACACAGTACATCACACTTTGCTGCATATGGGGTTGCGTAGTCGCAGGCTGGTCAGAGTGACTGGGATGACCTCCTCTCCTCCGCTGAAAGCACCTACAGTGGGGACATGGGCATCAGAACTGGACCATAGAGCATGGAAGAAGAGTGCCTTGTTTGATGAATCATATTTTCATTAGTTTAAGTGGGTGGCTGGGTGCATGTGCATCATTTACCTGGGGGGATGATGGCAGCAGAATGTACTATGTACTATGCTGGGAAATGTAACTTTGGGTCCTGGCATTTATGTGTATTTTACATTCACACGCACCGCCTGCCTAGAGATTGTTGAAGACCATGTTCACAACTTCATGGCAATGGTTTTCTCTGATGGCTGCAGCCTCTATCAGCAGAATAATGTACCGTTCCAGACTGCAAAGGTTGTTCAGGAATGGTATGAAGAACCTGACAAAGAGTTCAAGGTGTTGCCTTGGCTTCCACATTCACCAGATATCAATCTGATTGAGTGATGTGATGGAATAAAATATCCTATCCATTAAGGCCCAATCTCACAATTAGCAGGACTTAAAAGATCTGCTGCTAATTTCTTGGTGCCATATGCCACAGTACAGTTTCAGAGGTTTTATAGAGTCCATGCCTTTACACATCAGAGCTGTATTAGCAGCACAAGGGGGATTTACAAGATATTAGGTACGTGGTTTTAATGTTGTGGCTGATCAGTGTTGCTGAGAACACCACAACCAATATTACCTAAAATTCTGAGCATCTTACAATTTCTGCAAATAGGAGAACTTGATTTAAAATAAAACTATGTAGCTGTTAAAGGAACAATCTTAGCAGAACCATTGCTTTGGCTTAATGTAGTGGTCGTGATATGCAAAGAGACTGTCCTTCCACTATCTGCTGTGTAAACAGTGCTTTTTCTGTGTTTTTGGGGCACTTCACCTCACGGTTTTTCGTCACATATGGTGATGTCTTATTATTTGGTTTGTATGACTGTTTAACTTATTTATTTTATTCTAATCTCTATCTGTATCTATTCTACTATCTCTTCTAAAGATTATGACATTGACTCCTTAGATGAGTATGTAAAGAGAATGTGCTTATTTTGCATCAGTTAGATAGATATGCTGAGTTACATTATTATTACTATAATAATGAATCATTCTCCATCTCAAGAGCGATAAGAGATATACTTCTATTTTTATGTAGACTTTGAGTATTGTCTTAATCTTCATTCCACTCTGTGAGCCTGCTCTTTCTTCTTTTTTGTATTACTTACATTTATTAGGACTCTAATAGGGATGAAGGTAGTGTGATGACTTTGGCTGGTTTAATAAAGCCTTTACTTTTATTTTTCTCTCTTGCCTTCATATCTTATACACTAATTTGAGTCCCTTCCATCGAATAAATATCCGTAATGAATTTGACTATTTGAGTTTAGGATCAGCCTTATAACGCTTGTTTTATGCACTTCTAATTTATTTTTGTACCGATCCTTTCACTGCCCACACGTAAAGACTACTCTGTATTGATATTTACACTATTACAGTGTGTACTCAGTATTTCCAGGCGGTACTTCCTTATGTTTTGTAAGTGGAGTTCCCTTTGACAAATAATTACACAGTTCCCCGGCATGCCTTTATGTAGACCAACCAGTCAAATTCAAACAGCTTCACTTCCGCATCAACAAGATTGCGACTGTCTTTTTGCTACTCCATTTGCATGTCACATCCGTTTATTTGTATTCATGCGTCAATGCGTAACGTCACTTCAAGTTACACAATTTTCGGTTCGGACAACCGATTCAGCACCATATATTAAAAATAAGACTCGATTCAGCGCCATATTTTTGAACCTGAAATGTCCATATTAACAAATCCACATCAGGAAAGTTTACATATCTTGGCATAAATAGAATCCTAAAAATTCTTACAAAATTTAAATGGCATATATACAAAAAGAGAACAAACATATATATGTATATATACATCATTTTAAAGGTACAATATTAAACAACCCCACTGATTAAGGTAACTATTTTTAATGTTTATCATATGTTCTCCTATTCTTACCCTAACTGGCTTTGTGGTCTTACCAACATATTGAAGACCACAAGTATATGTAAGAAGATAAATAGCATTACGAGTATTACATGATATTGGATTCTATTTTTTTTACCTCCGATTTGTGACCAAAGAATAAAGGTTATGAGTCTTTTTATTTTTGATAGTAGTATCTTTGCATGCTCTACAATTACCACAAATAAAAAACCTTTATTACTAACTCCCAAAAATCCATATAGTTACCTTTTTATCTTTATGTATACAACTTTTAGTTAATATTTGTCTAATGGTTTTAGCGCCCCTATAAACTACTTTAGGTTTATTTTCTATAAAACGGTTCATATCCTTATCTTGTCTTACAATATGCCTTTGCTTATTCAGGATTATCCTAAAAAGTTGACTCTGGCCTTTGGGGATATTCCTCAACCACGGTTAGAATAATGACAACTCGCCATATTTATAAAATTCTTACCATCAATTTTCATTAAAAACTGTTTTAATACAAGTATTTTCTATAAAAATATCTAAATCTAAAAAATTTTATGGGGCTAATGTCTTGTGTTAATTTTATGTCCAACTCATCAGAATTTAAAAATGTAAAAATGAATAAATCTCCTTTCCAATTTAAAAATAAATATTGTCTATATATCATTTGTAGAGGACCAAGTACACCTATGTAACCCTAGCTAACTCCTAACCTAGCCTAGCTAAAGTGTAGCAAACCTATTGCCCTCACCCTGCCTAACCCTTACACTAGGTAACTCTAACTTACTTTAGCTAATCTAACTAAATCTAGCAAACCCAAACTAATTATGACTAACCGTAACCTTAACAATGCATTGTTTATTAGATGGCATTCAGGCTGATTGATTGCTGTGAGAGCCAATCACATTGTTGACAAGCCTTTAATGACACCTAAGGCTTGCCACCACAGTGGTTGATTCCCAAGATGATCAGGCAGCAATTAATCACTATTACTGGATTTCCTCTTACCCTAGCAAACCCTAGCCTTCACCCAGGCTAGCCCGACGCTAACTAACTCTAACACTATCTATTCTTAACATTAGCTAACCCTAACTTGACCTATCTAACTTGAATGAAACCCAGCAAACCCTAACCCTACTCCAAACAATAGCAATGCTCTGTTTAGTATATTGCTGCCTGGATGATTGATCACTGTGAGAGGAAATCACAGTGATGACAAGCCTTAACTGACAGCTAATCATAATCATTCCGAGGGCAATCAATCACTATAACTGCGCTGCCTTAATGCTGGGACGGTCTAGTAATAGCTCAGAGCAGAGGCTTAGAGGAACAGCATGGTACATGTACCATTAGATCTGGAGGTCCCTGCGATGGCTGCCAGTGATAGGCATGTGATTTCTGAGGCCCGCTGTCCTGGTGATCATATGCTTGCAGGAACCTCTTGTAAGACATCCAGAAACAGCCATATATCACCATTCATTGTAAGACTGACTTAAAAAGCACTCAGCCAACAATGTATGTTTCATGTCCTTGGACACTAAGTGCATAATGACACTTGATGTGCTCTGAACGTCCATTGTCATTAACGGAGTACAGCACAAATACCAGTTACTGCAATACAATGTGCAGCACTACGTTTCTTTAATTTTTATATAAACCTGTACCAGTAATGAGACTCATATATAAATAAAAGATAGATAGGTAGATAGAGATGTATTAATTGATGTGAGAGCCATTAATAACTACTATTATATACACCTTAGCAATCCCACCTTCTATTATGCAATATGGCAACACAGTGGCTGCACACGTGGCAAACTTATATCAGGGCTCATCCTGGAAGAGCTTCCCAGACCTTCAAACCCAATACCAATACCAAGTACCAGAGAAAGCCATTTTTTCCTATCTCCAACTCAAGTCGTATCTGCAGACCACAACGCAGACACTACTATCTCCCACCTTAAACAAATTCGAATCTCTATGCCTTGCCCCACTATATACCAGGTACTCCTTACAACATATTCTAGTCAGGATTACACGTACATGGTAGCATGGCACAAGGAGCTAGATAAAACCTTTACCACAGGGCAATGGCAAGAGGCATGTATGGTGCACAAGGGAACCACGGCATGTACGACACATCTAGAACTAATCCGCAAATTACAATACCGATGGAACCTGGTCCCAGCAAAGCTAGTGCACATCTATCCTGGCACGTCTAATACATGTTGGAGGTGTCATGATGCCGTTGGCACCATTTACAATGTTTGGTGGCAATGCCCAAAATTACGGGAATATTGGGACCTGGTTCAGGAAATAACACATAGAACTCTGCCAATACATATACCCCTCACCCTAGAGTTATGTCTACTATTTATGGTCCTGAAAAGGCTACCTATCATTGATCGTACATTACTATTCCACATCATCATTGCTGCTAACACCTTACTTGCTAGGAGATGGAAAACGACAATCATACCCACAAGGGATGAATTGTTGCAGCAAATATCTACCTGGACATACGAGCTCATGGTGAACTCACAAATTAGATCTTCCACGGCTACACTACTCGCCGGGGACAGATGGAAGCAACAATGGGCAGCGCAGACATAACCAACATAATGGGTATTAATAATTTGGTCTCTCTCCTTCTCACCACAAACTGCATGGGTACCTCACCCAGTCTCCACACACCACATCACAGTGTAATCTCTCCCAAACGACTGTGAATTTCTCATGCTATACAGTGAAACCGTCCTGATCTTACGGCAATGTCTGAGGTGCAATTGTCACTATGTGGTCCCCATGTGGGACAGCCAAACAATGTATCCCCAAGCATACCTAGAGGGGAAGAGGCACATTATCAGACATGGGGAACCCCGAATCACATGTGAATGTTATACGAACCGAGAATAGCTAACTCTGTCTAGTGTGAGGACGCACAATTGAAACTGTAACACGGGTTATGCATTATGTATCACTTGTCATATATGGACTTATGTTTTCTCCCCCCCCCCCCTTTTTTTCTTTTCTGTATCACCTTATGTTATGAAAAGACAAATAAAAATTGTAAACGTCAGTACTGTGCCATTTATTAACATTATTTGTCAAGGGGAGGGAATAGCTGCATTTCACTGAATAGTTATGCTATAGAGCACCAATTAGTTATGGTGTCTTATGTTAGTGAATAATCTCCAGAATAAAGGAGATTTATGAATCCTAATTAGGATACAATGACATTTTTCACTGCATACAGCAGACCTCCTCTTGGTCTGGTACCATTCATAAAGGCTTATGAATGATGCGTGAAGAACACCCGTGTAAAAATGGGGCTCTAAAGAAAACTCTAGGATGTGAAGGGAATTCTCCAAACGGATTAATCGAAATCGCTCTTAATTTTATTTAATCCTTAACATAACACAGCTGCAATATTCTTCATCAGGATTTCCAAGCATTCCATACAGAGATAAAAGGTGTCACAGGTACTGAGAAGAGGAGAGGATGTGTAGATGGAGTAAAGATAAAATAGAAATGCGGTAATAAGTATAACATCCTGCTCTAATCATAGCATCAAGTCAAAAGCAAAGGTACATGCCGGCATCAGTGCTTTATTGATTGAGAACGACGTGGTACCTTTACAAAATAACACTTATAAGTAGTGGTAGAGGTTTTTCACAGCATTAACCATAAGAATAGAATGTCATATATGTTTCTTTAAAAAAAAAAAAAAAAAACAGCTAAAGGAATACACTAGATAGATGGATAATGGCTCTGTGGTTATGAAATCGCTAAATAGATATTGACTGAGTTAGTATAGAACCCATTTACTTGTTGCCACCTTGAAAAACCACATTAAGGTTAAAATATGTGCAGATAATGGATACTGGCAAATGCCATCCAGTAGACAGTCAAGACACACACACACACAATAAGTACAAAGCACTGGAATAAATGACTTATATAGACAAATGAAAATACATTATAGAAATAATGGCTCACTGTTATAATGTAAGGAAGGGATGTATTGGGATCCCATTTTTCAGGTTGGGAATAACTGATACTACCTGCCCATGATATAAAGAGGGGTAGATTAGGAAATATGACAGTAACAGGCACTGATAAATAAATCTGGGATACCCAAAATAAACCATATCCTCCAGCACACCAATTCAGCTGTATGTTTATAGAGAGCATGGGATTCTGATTAACTCTGGACCATCCATTCTATCACCTAAATTTTCTAGAAATGTAAACTACATTTTTGAGTTTTAAAAATAACTTATTACGTGTGTATTGCAAATCCAGTGACCTAGAATCTTTTCTGTTTTAGTTTGCATGGTAGTACACATGGTAGGTCCTATAGACTGTAAGCTCATTTAAGTAGGGTCCTCTTCAACCCATTGTTCCTGTAAGTTTTTGTAATTGTCTCATTTGTTGTTATATCTCCCCATCTGATAACATTGTAAAGCGCTACGGAATATGCTGGCGCTATATAAATACCAGTAATATTAATAATAATAGGTAGCACCTAAAAGAGAATTAGCCTTAATGTAACATGCAGGGTTTATAAATAGTAGGTTGCCCCTGTAGTGGCCCCTTATGTACTATAATTTAAATGCATTCTTGTTCTGAAAAGACCAAAGTTAAAGGGTCACTCCACTGCCCAAATACAAAATAAATAAAAATAATTGCTTAGTACATATACGCCAAAGGAAAACGTGTATGCATTTGATTATGCATTTTTTTTAATTGGAGGTAAAGCTAAAAACAGCTTGCAAAAGCTGCAACGCTCTTGTCTGCTTCCTGTGCAAGTCCTCCCCTTCATCCCCAGGCCAGACCTTCTGAGGCTGTCCAATCACAGACTTCCTAATGCAGCTCAATGAGAAGTCTTTGCAAGGCAGGAGCTCTGAGCAATTGCTGCCTCTTGTGAGTCACATGACTTGTTGTCTGACAGCCAGGGGGTGTATTTAGGTTAATTTATAAAAGTGAAGAAAATTTCCAATTAAATCTGCTCTTAAAAAAGAGGATGCACTCTTCACACATAAAGCTTTTCAGCAAGCTAAAGTGCTTTAGGGGTCTGGAGTGTAAATTTAAGGCTCTAACCAAGGCAATTACCGTACTTGTGAGATTGCTAGTGGCCTCCTCAAAACTAAAGTGGAAGAGTCTCTATGGACTGATATATTGCAAGCCTGGGGCATCACATACAGCTGCTTCTGCAGGAAATCTATTTTAATTTTGAAAGAGATACAGCAGGTTAAATGCATAGTATGGAAGAGTAACTTTTCTTGGATGTTTGGGATCATCTCTTCCACACCACATGTATGTAGGTTCAACCCACACATATTTCTGCAGACTTCGTGGAACCTTCGGGGACCTGATCTAGATCACTGTCATACAGATGTTACTTTTATGCTGTTCTGCTTCCATCTCGGCATTTTTGGGATTTGTTCTGTACCTGTTACTTTTATAATGTTGAGTTTTCCTTTGGTTGACGTCTGCTTGGGAACCAATAAATGCTGGCAGAATACATTGCCCTTGATACAGTGCCTGCATTTGGGGGGGGCCCAAGGGGGGACATGGCCTGATGTAGGGGTACCTTGCGATGCCACTGTTTGCAGTCTGTAGTTAATTGCTCACAAGCTTTGTACCTGTTGAAGTAGACAGAAACCCATTTTGTCAGTGCAACTCATGAGCGTGTGAGTAATCCTGAGTATAATAGGAATTTATAATACATTTACATGAAGTTTAAGGCCTGTGCAAACAGGGATTGAAAGAAATAAAAATGTGATTTAAACATTGCACCTCCAGAATTATCGCAACTGTGAAGTAAGACCATAAATGACATGTGAAATTAACATTAGGACTAGGGCTTGTGGCTGAAACCAAGATACATAAGCGTTAAAAGCCTTGTAGAAAGGTGGACATGATAGACCACTGGTAAAGTGCAGTTTCTATGTTTTTTATTTTTTTTTCCTTCAACACTAACTGTGTTATGAAGAAGCTGTTACTTATCTGGAATTACGCTGTCGGGAAAAACAAAAATTCAACACCATTTATAACTTGTAATGCTCCATCTTCATGCGATGCTCCATCTTCTTTTAAATATATATTAAAGGAACCCTGCAGGCAACATAAAAACTTAATCAGAGTGAAGTTGTTATGGTGCTAGGAAGTCTCTGGAGCCTACTTTCCATGGAGGTTTAACTTCAAAGTGTTAAATCTGGCACCAGTTAGCTCTGTCCCTCTCCTTCCACTTTTTCCGGGCCTTAATTGAGGAAGCCTCAGACAGGGGTGCCACTGATTGGCTTAAAGCAGCGATGTGATGACAAACATTTTTGAGCCCGAGTGCCCAAACCACAATACAAACCAACTTCTTTTTTTCAAAGTGCAAACACGGCAATTAAACCTGAATACTGAGTTTTAAGTTTAGAAAAAACAACTCATACAGTTGTCCGAACTAATTAACATATTTTGTTTTAAAAGAAGAACGCAACAACAGAGATATTGGGAGGGGTAGTATTGTGGGGATTGGGGCTTTAGTGTGAGTTTAATAAAAGCAGTATTGTGAGGGGCTTTAGGTTGGGGAGGATATGAACAGTATTGTTGGGGATTAAAGGACCACTATAGGCACCCAGACCACTTCGGCTTAATGAAGTGGTCTGGGTGCCAGGTCCAGCTAGGGTTAACCCATTTTTCTATAAACATAGCAGTTTCAGAGAAACTGCTTTGTTTATAAATGGGTTAATCCAGCCTCTAGTGGCTGTCTCATTGACAGCCGCTAGAGGCGCTTCCGCGCTTCTCACTGTGATTTTCACTGTGATTGTGAATGCTTTCCTATGGACTGGCCGAATGCGCGCGCGGCTCCTGCCGCGCATGCGCATTCAGACGAGGAGGAGGAGAGTCCCCTGTCCAGCGCTGGAGAAAGAGGTAAGTTTAACCCCTTCCAGCCCCTAGAGCCCGGCGGGAGGGGGACCCTGAGAGTGGGGGCACCCTCAGGGCACTATAGTGCCAGAAAAACAAGTATGTTTTCCTGGCACTATAGTGGTCCTTTAAAGCTTTAGTGGGAGGACTGGGGACAGTATTGTGGGCAGATACACATATAATGAAACACACTTAGAAACACTGAGCCACACAAACAACCACAGGCACAATCTCACACACTAACAGACATTCTCAAACACTCAGCAAAAAACAAAAACAAAAAAAAGTGTTTTTTTTGTCATCCAGTCTCCTTACCTTTAGGAGCACTAGGGTGGATCCACAGTACCCTGGTGGCCAGTGTGGGCTGCTTCTGTGCACCTCTAAAAGGAGCTCTGATCAATATGAGCGCTCTTTGTATAGCTCCCTTGCACGCCCTGGGCCGGGATGCCAGCTGTGGCATGTGTGCCATCGGTCCGCCATTGCTGGCTTAGAGCATCAGTTGATGATCTAAGCCAATCAGTAGCTCCCCATCCACAAAATGGCCTAATAAATATGTATGTATGGCGCCTCAGGCCAAGGCTGTCTGAGACTTCCTCATTCCAGCCTCAGACAAAAGTGGAAGGGGAGGGGCAGAGCTATCTGGCGCTGTATTCAACACTTTTGGGGTTAAACCAATCATTAACTGTTTAACCTCTAAAGGTAGCCTATGCCGTTGTTATGGTGATTGGATTGTTCCTTTAACAAACTTAGCTGTGGTGTCACAATCCAGTTCAGTCTGACACAGTGAAGGAAGAGAAACATGAACATTGTTTAATTTCTCCGCTTTTTTGTTTGCTTTCTGTATGTTGATTGGTGGATGCACATAAAGGAGCTTGTAACAAAGGCTGACAGAAATAGTGAAACTTTCTATTACAACTATTATCCTAAAATTTGCAATTCTCTTGCGAGTTCTCCACAGTCCCTGGCATAGTTAATAATCTTTGAATATGTTTTATTTTCAGTGTGTCTGAGAAACCTTTTCAAAATGAATCATGTTGTGATGACAGTCATAAACATTCTCAGGAAAAAACAGAAAAAATAGTATACTGCGGTACTTAACCAAAGGGTAATATATTCCAATCACTGCTGCTCTATTGCTTAGATTCTTCTGTACATTTTGGCTCTGTACATTTATTATTAGATAAATACGAACAGAAATGACTGAGTCATGAAAGGCATTATGCTTTGAGAAATGGGTACTGAATGTTTGCTGTTTGCATTGTATTAAATGTCGGGGGCAGAGTGTATTTCGCATGATCATTAGTACCAGTGCCAGATGAAGAGCCCAGTGGGCCTGGTGCTGAAAATTATGATGGGGCCTAATTACAGAATCTTATCAACCAAAAACACTAAAACAGTCATACCTCTCAAGCGTCATGTATCTGATGGAGTTAGTGCTGGAGGGAAACTCAAAGGATGCAGCTATAAGAAAACATACTCTATACTAATCTCTTTATCTAATTTATGCTTTCATCTTTCAAGTAAATCCACACCCCCTAACAACAGTGTCCAGTGAAGCAGGAAGTCAATGGGCGGGGTAAAAGGGTTGGCCACTCACGCAAATCACGTGACAGAACTGCCAAAAGGGCGAACATGCCCAAAAAGGGGGCATGTCTGTCCAAAGAATTGGAAGGCCAGCTTGGCATCAGTGTCCCTATGTATCACAGTTGTCAGTGTCCCCATGTCACCCAGTCCCCTAGTCTCCCAGTGTCTGTGTCCCCATTTCTCCAAATGTCCCCATGTCTTTGTGTATCACTAGGATACTAGGGGACACTGAGAGACCCGGGGACCCTGAGACATGGGGACACTAGGGACACTGGCTGGGAGACATGGGGACACTGAGATATTGGCTGGGAGACATGTGGACACTGGGAGACATGGGACCACAGACATCTTGGGACATTGGGAGACATGGGGACACTGAGACATGGGACACAGACATTGGGAGACTAGGGGACACTGGGAGCCATGGGCACACTGACACTAGGGACACTGGCTGGGAGACATGGAGACACTGTGTCCCTAGTGTCTCCATATGTCTCACAGCATCCCCATGTGTCTCAGTGTCCCCATGTGTCTCAGTGTCCCCATGTGTCTCAGCGTCCCCTAGTGTCTCAGCGTCTCTTAGTGACCCAGTGTCCCCAAGTGTCTCAGTGTCCCCATATCTCCCTGCAGCTTTTCCCCCCATTCTTCACATACCTGAACTGTAGTCTGTCTCTGCAGGCTGGAAGCTGCTGTCTGGACTCTCTGTGCTGTGTAGCTGCTCCCCTGCGGATCAGTGAGTAGAGAGAGGCAGGGAGATGCTGTAACTCTTATCCCTGCTTCTCTACATACACAGTGACCCCTTACTGGCCGGTGCTGGTATTGCAGAGTAATCTCAGTTTATACTGAGAAGGATATTTGTATTGCCGGTATTACTGCAATACCGTCACGGCCAGGCAGCCTCAGATACCGACTGTGCCTTAAAATACCAGTCAGGTGGCAAACCTAAGAGTAGTGTGTAAAAAAAAATTAAAAAAGTAAATTTTTTTTTAATATATATATATATATATGTATATATATATAAACGGGCCTATTCCATGGGCCTGGGCCTGGGCCTGGAGCTGCAGCTCCATCAGCCCCTATGTTAATCCGGCCCTGATTAGTAACTTCATGCAGTTTGTATTTAGGATCCAGGAACATAGGTATTCTGTAATTTAAAAAAAAAATGAACCCCTTAATTTTTTCTATGCACAATTTTAACTGTTGCAATTGATATTAGTTTATTGCAAATGCATTTCATTTGCAAAAGCTGCCCAGACAGCAGAGTCAGTGTTACTATTGTAGGCCCAGCACTGCTGAGCTCTACATATCTCCCTGCACGGCCCTGTGTTGCTTACTGTGCAGGCAGAACCTCTGGCTGGGAGCACCTCTGGCTGGGAGCAGTTGTCTGCAGATGCTCTACCCAATCAGAAAAAGGAAGGAGGCATTCAGAGGGGTCTGCACCTATCCCGTAATGCAGATCTGTCTGGCAGCCCACCAGACCACCATGAAAATCGTTGGACCACTAGGTAATGAAATCAGAGCCTTCCTCACTGCAGAAAAGGAAACCTGGAGGGGGGCTCAGTTAAAGAGCATACACAGTCACGTATACACATGCAGACTGATATACACTCACAGATGTACAAGGATACTCACGGCCACTCACACGTTTTCAGGCACATACACAGTTATACAATGCTAGACATGCACACACAAGTAACAATACACACTGCGAGACACAAACTGATTGTGTGTCTGTATCTACCAACCTGTGTTTGTCTGTTTCGGTGTGTCTCTGTGTCTGTTTGTGTGTGTATGTGTGTGAATGTATCAAAGGATGTATGTGCATGCATGTATCAGAGTGTATTTGTATGTGTGGGTATTAGTGTGTGTGAATGTATCAGACTGTGCAGACTGTGTATGTGTGTGCATGTATCAGAGTGTATTTGTATGTGTGGGTATGTGTGAATGTATCAGACTGTGCAGACTGTGCATGTGTGTGCATGTATCAGAGGGTGTATATGTGTATGTGTCAGAGTGTATTTATACAAGTGTATATCAGAGTGTGTATGTGTGAGCTTATATTTGTGTGTGGCTCAGATATATTGACGATTGCTTCTTCATATGGAAAGGAGACCTTGGATCCTTAGAGAGTTTTACAACTTATCTTAACAACAACCATATCATCTGAACTTCACTTTTAACCACTCTAAAGAACACATTGAATTTTTAGATCTGGATATCTATATCAAAGAGGGACAAATCAACACCAAGACTTTTAAGAAGAGTGTGGACTGTAATAGTTTTATTCCTTTTAACAGTCATCACAAGTCAACATGGTTAAGAAACATACCTCAGAACCAGTTCAGGAGGGTAAGACGCAACTGCTCGAATAATGAATTGTGTAAGTCACAAATGGAAGAAATGAAACAGAGATTCCTGAAAAAGGGTTATCCCCCAACGCTATTAGAAGAATCTATGGATATAGCACTTACCACCCCAAGAGAGGATACCTTATGCAATAAACCCAGCACCACAGAAGTATCCAATTCAGCACCCACCTTTATCACTAAATATAATCATCAATTTCATACAATACAGAAGACACTAAGGAAGCACTGGGGGATCCTTAAGAATGATCCAACGTTATCTAAATTCCTCGACAATCAACCTCAGATTATTTTTACTAGGGCACCCAACCTGCAACTTATGCTGGCACCGACCACTAAACCTGAAAGTGCTGATTTGGATCAAGGTACCATCAGTGGCTTCACAAGATGCAAGAAGTGTCTAGCATGTAGAAATAATCCATCATTAGAAGACACAACCACTGGATTTAAATCCCTCACTACTCAAGAGGAATATGATATCAAGACCAACATGGACTGTACTACATCAGGAGTCATCTATTTAATAACATGTCCATGCCCACAACAATATATTGGACATACAAAAAGACCCCTCAAAATCCGTATTGCTGAACACATTAGAAATATTAAGAAGGGACTTCCAACGCATAATCTTTCCAAGCACTTTAAAGAGATACATGGGGGAGACCCCACAGGACTTGCATTTATGCCTATTGAGAAAGTGAATACCCACTGGAGAGGAGGTAGCATTGATAAGGCTCTAGATCAGACAGAAGCGAAGTGGATTTTTAAGTTAGGGACTTTGGTCCCTAAGGGACTCAAAGTAGATTTTGAGCTTAATGCTTTCCTATAATATATATATATGTTTTTTTTTTGTTTTGTTTTGTTTTTCACCTTTATTTATAGTCCCCCCTTTTTTTTTTTTTTTTTTACAGTGGTCCTTTAAATAATGCGCTATCTACGCATGCCAAAACAAAAAATACATTTAAAGGATCACTGTAGGGTCAGGAACACAAACATGTATTCCTGACCCTAGAGTGAAAACCCACCATTTAGGTGGCTTGCCCCCCCCCTTTTAGCCTCTTTAGAATGGGTTAAAACTCACCTTATTTTCAGCTCTCCACGGGTGCCCCGGCGCTGGCCCCTCCCCCTTAGTGACATAATCAGAATTGCCGATGTTAAAGGGACACCGTAGGCACTGTATCTGCTTCATCTCATTAAACTGGTTATAGTCAGGGCCGGACTGGGGATACAAAGCAGCCCTGGAAAAATAATTTGTGCCAGCCCCATAAGTCACTGTGCCATATATTGTCGCATGTAATATGTAAGGCTATGTCTTGCCAGGACAGATGATTGAGTAATATATATATATATATATAGCTTTTTCTAATATAAAATATTGGTCCTTTCAGGGTAAAATGTTTAATTATACAGTAAGCATACTCACATGCAGACACAGGCAATTTCACTGACATCTCAATGACACACACAAGTTCATTGATACACAGCCTCATAGACAAACAATCTTACTGATATACATCAGCTCACTGACATAAAAACACAAGCTCACTCACTAGCAGGCACACGCATGCAAGCAAGCTCACTCACTAGCAGACGCACACACAGCTTAATGTGGTGGTACTGGTGTCTATAGCATGTCACTACAGGCTTTTCAACGTAAACACTGACTTTTCAGAGAAAAGGCAGTGTTTACATTGCTTCAAAGTGACACTGCTAGTGACAGTCACTCAGACGGTCACTAGAGGTGCTTCCTGTGTTAGTGCACCTACATTCAGGGCCTCCACACTCTGTAGGTGCTGAACGTTCCCCATAGAGATACATTGATTCAATGCATCTCTATGAGGAGATGCTGATTGGAGTGGCGTTTTGCAGCCAATCCTATGGCAAAGCATTGGATTGGCTGAGATCATCAAGCTTGATGATCTCAGCTATAGAGGCAGGGCCAGTCGAGGGGAGACCAGCACGCTGCGTGGGGAAAAAAAAAGGTGAGCAAAAACACTATTTTTAAACACACATTTACACCATGACAGACACAGAAACACACATATACCATGACAGATACACACCCCATGACAGACACACACACACACCATGACAGACCATGACACAGACAGACACACACCATGACACAGACAGACACACACACACCATGATGGACAGATAGACACACACACACCATGACAGACAGACACACACACACCCCATGACGGACAGACAGACATACACACACACCCCATGACAGACAGACACACACACCCCATGAATGACAGACAGACACACACACACCCCATGACGGACAGACAGACACACACCATACAGACAGACACTATGACACAGACAGACACACACACACACACACAATGACACAGACAGACAGACACAAACACCATACAGACAGACACCATGACACGGACAGACAAACACACACAACATACATACAGACAGACAGACAGACACCATAACACAGACAGACACACAGAACATACATACAGACAGACAGACAGACACACACACACCATGACACGGACAGACAGACACACACACCATACAGACAGACAGACACCATAACACAGACAGACACATTACTAGTACCTGACACCAGGGGGAGGTCTGCTGTCGGCTGCTGGGGAGGTCTTCTGGCGGCCGCTGGAGGACTTGTCCTGGCGGCCACTGGGGAGGTCTTCTGGCGGCCGCTGGAGGACTTGTCCTGGCGGCCGCTGGGGGAGCTCCGCTGTCTGTGCTCTCCCGCCCTCGCGCGCTGCTGAATGAGACCGGCGCCGGAATATGACGTCATATTCCGGCGCCAGTCTCATTCCGCTGTGCGCTGGGGAGCAGAGTCAGCACAGCTCACCCCAGCGGCCGCCAGGACAAGTCCTCCAGCGGCCGCCAGAAGACCTCCCCAGCGGCCGCCAGGACAAGTCCTCCAGCGGCCGCCAGAAGACCTCCCCAGCGGCCGACAGCAGTCCCAGGTGTCTGCCCGGCCCCAGGAGCCGACGGCCCACCGGGAAATTTCCCGGTATCCCAGTGGGCCAGTCCGGCCCTGGTTATAGTGTCTGGAGTCCCCTGGTGCCATCATTTCTTTCAGCATTAAACTGTTTTTAATGTTGTAATGTTTTAATGCTAAACAAGAGACCCCTGCAGTCCATCCCCTCTGTGCTGCTTTGGCTAATAAGGAAGTATTACCCTGAGCAGCAATGGGCAGCTGTGATTGGCTGAGAGTGACAGCTGACTGCTTTTAGCCTGTCAGAGCTCCAACTGACGGTATGAATGGGTATGACAACAAGGAAGTGTGTAATCTCTGCCTTAGCTACACATACAGAAGTGGCTGGACTGTGGGTGGCCAGGCACTCTTATTTCGTGGCATACTGCACAAACATGGTGCAACACTGAATGGAGGGACAGTGCCAGGGCACTCCAGGCATTATAACCAATTCAAAGAGATGAAATGGTTATATCCCTCTAAGCCACTATAATACTTTCCCATGGGGAAAGCATTGGATTGGCTAAATTAGACGAGGGGGCGGGGCCAAACACTGTTTTGGCCAATCAGCACCTCCTCATAGAGATGCATTGAAACAATGCATCTCTATGAGGAAAATTCTGCGTCCCCATGCAGAGCGTGGGGCGTTGAACAGCAGGACTGTTTACTGTGCAGCCCTGAGCCAGGAGGCCCCACTATGAGGTGTCCCTAGGGGCAATGTAAACACTGCCTTTTCTCTGAGAAGACAGTGTTTACATGAAAATTCCTGAAGGGAGCTATTAACTCACCAGAATAAATACATTAAGCTGTAGTTGTTCCGGTGACTATAGTGTCCCTTTAAATATTACTTTCCAGGACACCCAAAATACTTGGATTCTGAGGGTGGGTTTTTTGCAAACCACTTGATAGTGAAGGAGTTAATGTGTATCAAGAGTTACATGTTTACATCAGCAAAGAGCTACATAGGTTGGTTGGTATTGATGAGTCACATAACTAACTACATTAGTTATTGATTTGTAGGACATATTGATGTATGCTGTCTCATATGCTGGCTTTTAAATGCAGATCCCATGTGGTGCACTAATAATACTGGGAAAATGTTTTTTCATGTTATAACTACATTTTATTCCCTTTTAATTCTTTATGTATATGATTTTTCTAATATAAAAGAGAAGCCATTAACAGTATTAATATTGTATTGTTAGACCACATATTGTTAAAAGATGAATCATGTCTCCTGATTCTTACCAAAAAAAAAAAAATTTGGAGGGCATACAGAGACCTATAGACACATTAATATGGAATAATAAATGGCACACGCTGGCCAGAAACATTTTAAACAGATCTAAGGTTGTGGGTGGCCTCAATGGTCTGAATCTCTTAATGTACTATGATGCAGCTCACATTGCGCAGATCTTGATGTGGCATGCTCCCCTTGCAGACGGGATGTGGGTGGATATAGATTGTAGTCTGATTTCTTTCATTCTCCCAATGTTTAAATTTGCGTGGGTTGATCTCAACCTGCCTTGCTTCATGCTTCTTGCCTGCTATACTGACTTCTTTAAGGGGACAATGTTGACACTGTAATTGCTTCATCTCATTGAAGTGGTTATAGTGTGTAGAAACCCCTGGCACTGTTTTTTACGTTTAGCATTCAACCATTTTTTATGTTTTAATGCTAAAAAAGAGTGTCCAGCAGCCCATCCCCTCTGTGCTGCTTGGGTTAATGAGGAAACATTAACATGAGCAGCAGCAGACAGCTGTGATTGGCTGAGAATACCAGCTGACCAATTTTAGCCTATCACAGCATCCGTTGCTGGGATTATTATTTTATTATTTATATAGCGCCAGCAAATTCCGTTGCGCTGTACAATGGATGCATTTTATATGGCTTGAAATAAGTGTGTAATCTCTGTCTTAGCCATACCGCCAGTGGGGGCCAGGCTATGGGTGGTCAGGGACCCTTATTTAGTGTTACACTGCTCGAACATGGTTTAACTTTGAATGGAGGAACAGTGTAACGGTACTCCAGGCACTATAACTAATTCCACCAGACTCCCTTTAAGAATTTGTCATCGGGTTGGTGTAAGTTTTCACTGGCTTCTTCTCCCTCCCGTTTTACTCTGGTTTTAAGGAATAAAACTTTTCCTTCAGGCATGTGCCCCTAGGACTTTAAAAATTTGGAAGATTCAGAAGTCCCGAGATATTTGCATTTGAGGAGAAGTCCTTCATTAGTAAGTTTCCCTGATTTACAACGTATTTCCCCTTAATCCAAGAAAGACTTCTATTGTTATATGTACAGTTTATTGATTATTTCCTAATTTGTGGAGGTTCAGAAAGTCTCCTTAACTGCCCCAACAGTGTTTGAAGATTTATGTTTCAGAAGGTATGTTTCTCTTTAACATATATTCATATCTGTTCAAATTCTACAGTATGGGGTGCTTTAGATTATGTTGGGCAGTGAAAGCGTGCCCTGGGAGAGAAACTGAAGGGCAACTCTTGGGAAGACTTTTGGAGGCAGCTGCTAAGGTGTCAATATGTATTGTCTCTCAAGAACAGATCTATAAAATTTTGTTTAGGTGGTATACAACAGCAGTGCAGCCCTTTAAAATGGAAAAGATGAATTTGGACTGCTGCTGAAGGCTATGTGGTCAAAGGAGAATGCACCTCCATATGTAGTGGTCTTGCCACCTGGCTGTGACGGCTGCAGGGAAATTAGATCTGTCTGTGTAGGGTCTCGTGGAATCCTCCAGAAACCTTAAAGTCGACTCCTGGCAGTTGAAGCGCCAGAAGCAGAAGATGATCAGCTGGAAGAAGATGGCTGCACACGCAATGGACAGTTTCAGGTAAGTAAAAACTCGCATTTACCTGCCCCTGGCATACAGAACCCTAGTGGCGGTGTCACAATCTAGAACGTCTTTGAAAATGATGCAAAGTCCCCAGACAGTGACAGTCCTGTTTTAATAGAGCCTGACACAGTGCTAATAGGGGTAGCAGAAAAGTTACACAATAAATTAAATTTAGTAACTGGGTTAACATTTTCCACAATGGCAAAAGGTTCTGGCGTAAGTGAGTGGGGTCCATAAGAAACCATGGAACAATTTGTTTCAGGGGAGTGAAATACAATGGCAAGTGAGACCAGGCGTAAAGTCTTGCTAGGTTAGAAGAGCCATGCAAATGAACCTTTCCGGTGCCACAGTGATGTATGACCTCTCCAAATTAATTTAGGCTTTTCTATATCCGGTAGAAAGTTTTCTGTGTTATATTTGTCTTATAGTGCAAAGCTCTGTTTATCTCTCATGTTTAAATGACTGCACCATTTAAATAGATTTTTCTATATCTACAACAATTCCATCTTTCTTCTCTACACCATAAATTGTAGGGTATCCCTTTTCAATATCAGAGTTTCAGTGTATGTAACTTATCCTGAACCAATGCAGTGAAAATATCATATTTCAAATATTCAGGGTCATTGTTAATATAACAATAAGCACTTATTTTGCTCCCACAAAATGCAATCTATTAGCTGAATATGCACAATGTAACTGGTCACATGTCTGAGACATGTATAAATGCCCAGGTGTGTAGGACTGGTTGTAAAGGATTTTGTTCACACTATGCTAAGGCAATGTTTTGAAGCACTCTTGAGAAATGCATCTGTTAAGATGAAACACCACCTGACCTTAGTAGTGTATGAATAAATTCTTAAATAAGCCCTTATTGAGTGGTTATCGATATAACTCACTCTAATTGCTGGACCCTTAGAAGCTGGCTTCTTTTTCTACAGGGTAAATGGCATTTAGGTGACAAGGTGTGAAAGAGAGTCTATAGATCAGATGTTTGTGCAGCAGAAACTGCGCAAGAAGGCCCTAAAATGGTTTTCTAGTAAGATGGTCAGGCAACCTCTGATTTGGAGTTCTGCCTATGCTGCCCTACCCCCCATTAAAAAAAAGATGCTTGATGGTTAAGGGACAGTCACTTAATGTTAATTTTATTCACAGATCAAGTGAGAAGTGACCAACAGAGGGGAGGAAAGGAGGAGCAGTAAAATAAATTAATTTAAATTATATATATATATATATGTGTGTGTGTGATATCTTGATGGAGAGCACTCAAAGGACTCAAAATTTATTTCAAATAGTGCTTTTTATTTAAGCATCAAATCTTTCCATACAGAGTGTCGATTTTTCAGTCCCACTGGACTTTTATCAAGACTAACTGTGAGTGCGGGACACGTGGGTTTGTATATATATATATATATATATATATATATATATCCTCCTTTTCCCCTCTTTTGGTTACTTTTTTTTCACTTGATCAGTTAAAGGGACATTATAGTCATCAAAACATGAAGCATTTTTGGTGTACAGGTCATGCTCCTGTAGTGTCAATGCTCAATTCCATGGAGATGCCGAATGTCGAGACTTTGCAGAACTACATCCAGGAAGTCCCTTTAGTGCCTGTCCAAGTGGCAGTCACTAGAGGTCGTATTACACAGCAATGTAAACACTGCCCTTTCCATACCACCCAACAATGCAGCTGGTAAAATTGGGAGTGGACTGGGCTCAGAGACGGCATGGACCATATCTTTGCATTAAGCTGTAGTGTTCTGGTGCTTAGAACGTCCCTTTAAATTGGTGGTAAAGCCACGATGGATTGTCATTTAAATAAGTGATACTCACGTTATAACTGTCTTCCTAATAACAAACTCCCAACTCAGGCCACAAATCAAGCCACTTCTTTCCAGATATGAATTTAATGGGCATTGAGTACATGATTCGAGAAGGAAATAGGTACTTTGACAGAAGGACAGAAATTGTATTATCATTATTAGCCCTTGCCTTAATAAATAATGAGATTGAATGAGCACTTTTCTGTGGATGTCAACGTACAGCAAGTTAAATTTAATTATTCATGTAGCAATGATGGTGAGGTTACGTCACAGGTCAATTTGAAGCAGAAATAGATTGTGTTTGTTTCTTTTATCTTATTACATGGCAAATGTTGCTTGTCAGCAATGCTGATGAAAAGGTTAGACATTATGAGGTTAAATATGTTAGAGGTGGATTAAAGGGTGAAAACAGGAGAATTTTCTCAACACACATATTCATTAATAATGACATAGCTTAATATTGTATGAATATTAATGGGGAGACTTTATTTTAGAAAATGGGAAATATTCACTTTACATTTAAAAAAAATAAATTCTTTATTTTATTGTGCATAGTATAACAAACAAGTCTGCAATAAAATGAGAGAGGACGGTGGTTGCGCACACAGTAAATGATATCTTTAGTCTAGGATGGAGCCCCTAGATTCTGAAAACATAAGAAACCATCATAGGGCAATATATCTTAGACTTAAATAAAATGTTAAGAAAACTTGGAAAACTCACAATATTTAGAGCCTATCAGAGTTGGCTCTAAACTTTTAAAGCAGGTTTATCAATCTGGTGCAGATAACGTAGTATAAATCCATTGGTAACCATCAAACGTCTTCTTAATGTAGAAGTCAGGAACCAGGATGACCAGATAAGTAAAAAGTGAATACTTTAATTATAAAACAAATAAAAATACAGCACAACGCGTTTCGACCTAGTGCAATAGGTCTTCCTCAGGTGCATAATAAGACAGTCAAACAGCATGCTTATATACCATACATAATCAATATAATTACGAGTAAAACCTTTACAGCTGTAAAGTCCGTCCTTAACTCCATATATGGAGTGTTTCCGGCAAGAAACGGCATGTATATGCCTCCTCCAAGATGGCCGCCGTGTATTGTTCCTCATACAGGTGCGCGCGACCTTCCCAAAATGGCCGCGCGTCATCTCCGTGTAATTGCATTATGTCACTTCCGGTTTCCTCTTCCTCCGGTCACGTGGTACATCTTCCGATCACGTGATACCGGAAGTGGCGTAAGCAGCATGTAATTATATCGTTGGTGCAAGGGAATGTCAATCAAATCATTCCCAGTTCGTATTTTAGATACATATTAGCAAGGAAGTGAGAGGTAAAAGGAGAAAGAGTTATATAAAACACCAATCATTTATAACATAGTAAAAACTTTAACAATAATATAATTATAGGAGAAGTAAGTTCCTTATGTCTTAAAAATACTAAATAAATATTAAAAATAAATGTGAAATACATATAGAGAATGATAATACCATACATGTCAAAGAAGATTTATAAAATTGAACCAATTTCAAAGTCAATGTTAAGCCCCTTTGGGCATAATGTTTGGAGCTCAAATATCCAATTTGATTCTTTTTTATTTAGGTTCTTAGCAATACTGCCACCTCTCCAATGATTTTGTATTTTATGGATGGCTGTAAATTGTAATTCTTTAGGATTACAGTTATGTCTTTCTAAAAAATGACTAGATACGCTATGATTTAAAAATCCAATTTTTATGTTCCTAATATGTTCGTAAATCCTAGTCTTTAGTGGTCTTGAGGTTTTTCCTACATACTGTAAACCACATGTACACTGTAGCAAATAAATAACATTAGTAGACTCACATGAAATAAAAGAATTGATATTAAAACTTTTTTTTGTTATATTCGAAATAAAATCAACTTTCTTTTTTTCAGTTATATGTGTATTTCTACAGGCATAACAATTGCCACAATGAAAAAAACCTTTTTGGGTTTCTGACCATTTAGTTAAAAAATTCGAATTTTCATTTTTATTATCCTTCTCTACATAATTTGAGGTTAAAATTTGCTTAAAATTTTTTGCCCCTCTAAAAATGAACTTAGGTTTATCCCCTAAATAATCCCGCATTTCATATTCTTGTTGTAAAATATGCCAGTTCTTACTCACAATTCTTTTTAAAGTGCTTGCATTGCTACAATAATTAAAAATAAGGGGAATTTGTTTATCCTGTTTTTTTCTATCCTTACTCTTATAATTTAATAATTGTGATCTCTCTAAATCACTAATGTAGCGGATGGCACCAGGCGACCCTACAAAAATACTGTATAAAGCTGCATCTGTGTATCTGCTGTATTTTCTGTGTATTGAAAAAGAATTGTATTCCTCTGATTGTTCGGTAGTTCATTCCCTTAGTTTATTCGAATGAAACTACCGAACAACCAGACCTCCCTGTGTGAAGTGTGTCCTCAATTACCCGTTGCAACATTGTTGCGAACGGGTAATTGAACAGTAAGTAGCCGTCCTTTGTTCTCGGGGGTGGCCGCCATTCGACAAACGAACACGTGGCGGCGGCCATTTTAAAACTCCCGAACAGCGGTGTTTTGCCGTCGAGTGTCTGGAACTAAAATCGGACACTCGAGTAGGCGAACACCGCTGAGACCTCCACAGCCCTGGTCCGTTCGGTTCCAAACTACCGAACGGCCCCTCGTTCGGTAAATAGAGAATACCGAACGAGGGGATTCAGGCGAACCCCCCCCTAGCCTCTATAGCTAGAGGCTTTCGTGTATTTTATTCCCTTATGCCAGGACCGACCGCAAGGCCCATTCACATGGAACCGAATTCGGCTAGCTCTGTTCGTGCGGTCGGTCATTTTATTCCCTCCATACTTTTCCCGAACCCCTGGTCCGATCTGGGTGATTTTTGGATATGTTGTTCACCCAGATCAGGGCTACCCGGGGATGTATGATTTAAAGGGGTACCCCTACGTTTAGGGGTACATCCAGAAATGGGGGGAATTGGTGTGCTGGCTAAGGGGATTATGATGCTGGCTGAGGGGAGGGGATGTGTGGGAGGTTACCAGGACAGGATTGGCTACTGTAATAATTACTGTAAATCCCTCCCTTGCATGGGAGCATGCTTTATAAGGAGACTGTGATTAAAGGCTTGTCAGTTATGCTCCTGAAACTGTGTGTCGTCCAGTTATTGGGATTGCTGTTGGGATATTGCTGTATTTTACCTGCTGGAAACCCTGCCTTTGGATTTACTATTTACTTGTTCCTGAGTCTCACTTGGATTATAAGCGGAGATAACCTGGGACTATTGCATCTCCGCTACATTGGTTGGCAGCGCTGGGATCCAGACTCACAGAGGAACAAGCCTAAATGGAGTACGGATGGAGATTGATTTTGCCACACTAAAACGCTCCACGCTAAAAGACCTTCTGGAGGCAAGGGGTATCCAAGCCAGCAATAAAACAAAAGCGGCACTTATCACTGAACTGATGGCGGAGTACCGAATGGAAGGCGATTCGGTTCCCGAACAAGGGAATTCGGGAGAAACACCGGAACAAAGGGAGTTCCAGAGGCAGGTACAATTTCGGCTGTCTTTCTATGGGGAACACCCTCCAACAGAGATTGTTTCCAAAACGATAACGGAGGTCCAGGAGTTTATACTGAGGAGTCAAACAGCGGCCCCAGAACGCAGCTCTGCAGTAAATATGCCACATGAAGGTAAGCCGAAAATACCGTACCAGGCTTTTAAAACATATGTGGAGGCAGAGGAAGATATAGACGCTTTCCTGCAAGATTTCGAGAGACTGTGTGCACTGCATAGAATCAGCGCAGAGGACTGGGTACCTATTTTGGCAGGAAGGTTAACTGGGAGGGCAGCTGAGGCATACCGGACTGTACCGAATGATGAAATTCGGAATTATCACAAAGTGAAAGAAATTATATTGGCCAGGTATGCTATAACACCAGAAGCATACCGGCGGAGATTCAGGGATTTAAAGAAGGTGGAGAAAGACTCACATGCTGAGTGGGCATGCAGACTACAACGAGCAGTCTTGGGGTGGGTGCAAGCGAGCAAGGCACGGTCTATGGAGGATGTATTGCAAATGGTACTGCTGGAGCAATTTTATGAAGGAGTAACCAGCGAGGTACAGGAGTGGGTAAGAGACAGAAACCCTACCTCCCTTACCGAAGCAGCCAGGAAGGCAGACGAGTACCTGGATGCACGCAGGCAGCAAAAACCTGCAGCTCCAAAAGTACCTTTTAAAACCTTTGGGGGAAATAACTACACGCCAGCTCTACCAAGGTCACTGCCACCACCACCACCACCCGCTACACAGCCACGTTTCCGCCAGCCCACGTCGGGCCCTTGCCACCACTGCCAGAAGTGGGGACATTATAAAAGGGAATGCCCCCAGCTGCGGGACCGTTCCACCTGGATCCGACCCGGTCCACCACCACCACCGAGAGCCGCCGCAGCCCATCACTACCAGGACATCGTGGCCACACCGTATGGTTCAGCAGTTCCCATCACAACCGTAGAGCAGTGGGAGGTACTGCACGAGGCAGATCCCGTCCAGGCTAACGCAGACAACCGCCAGCATCACAGGCAGACCGTGTATCTGGAGGGTAAAGCGGTTCAGGGGCTACGTGACTCAGGAGCCACCATCACCCTGGTAAAAAGTCACCTGGTCTCAGACCAAGCTAAACTTAGCAAGACTGTGGCCGTCAGGGTAGCCGGGGGAGCAGTATACCGGCTACCCACAGCAAGGGTACATTTGCATTGGGGAGCGGGGGCAGGGCATGTGGAGGTGGGGTTGATGCCGCAGTTACCGGCGGAGGTTTTATTGGGGAACGATCTGGGGAGGCTCACATCTGCTTTTGAGCCCCAGACACCCACCACAGGAGAAGCTCACCCTGTGGTCACTCGACAACAGGCCCGCACCCAGGACTACAACACACTCCCGGAGGTCCAGGTAAGAGATCCTTCCCCTTCCCCTGACTGTGTTCCCTGGGCCCCTCCTAACGAATTTGCAGCTGAGGTAGTGACTGACCCCACCTTGCAGGTGTATAGGGACAAGGTGACAGCAGACACGCCTGGGGGGGAGGGCGAAAGGTTTATTTGGGACAACCAGCTGTTATATCGGGAGACGGATAAGCAGGTATCCGGGTCAGACCCGATTGTGATGAGGCAGTTAGTGGTACCTCAGCGGTACCGGGCGGAGTTACTACGGATAGCCCATGACATTCCGCTATCTGGACATTTAGGGGTCAGCAGGACCCGATACAGGTTAACCCAAAGTTTCTTTTGGCCGGGAATTAGCCAGGAGGTGCGCAGGTATTGCAACACGTGCGATACCTGTCAAAGGGTGGGGAAAAGGGGGGACCGGCGCAAGGCCAAGTTACATCCCCTCCCCATAATCGAGGAACCCTTTAGCAGGGTAGCAGTTGACCTGATAGGACCCCTCAACAAAGCAAGCCCGTCAGGTAAAAGATTTATCCTGACCGTAGTAGATTATGCCACTAGATATCCAGAGGCGGTGGGCCTGACAAATATACAGGCTGAGACAGTAGCGGAAGCCCTGATGAAGATATTCTCCCGGGTGGGACTCCCCAGGGAGATTGTCTCCGATCAGGGCACCCAGTTCACCGCCGAAGTCACGCAGCGCCTCTGGAAGTTTTGTGACATTAAGCCGGTCATTAGTTCCCCTTACCACCCCCAGACGAATGGGCTCTGCGAACGTTTCAACGGTACATTGAAACAAATGCTCCGAACCTTCGCAGAGACCCACAAGGACTGGGAGAAGTTCCTGCCGCACCTCCTCTTTGCTTACCGGGAGGTGCCGCAGGAATCCACTGGGTTCTCCCCATTTGAACTATTGTTTGGCCGCAGGGTACGAGGGCCTTTAGATTTGATCAGAGAGCATTGGGAGGGAGAACGGAGCACTGACGGTACCCCCATCATACCCTATGTGTTGGCATTCCGAGACCGCCTTGAGGCCTTAACTCAGACGGTACGCGAGAATTTGCAGGCGGCTCAGACACGCCAACGCACATGGTATGATCGGGGCGCCAGGGACCGTAGCTTTCAGGTCGGGCAGAAGGTGTTAATCTTAAAACCTGTCCGACACGATAAGCTGCAGGCCGCCTGGCAGGGCCCTTATAAGGTGGTGGAACAACGGTGTGACACCACTTATATAATCGGCTCGTGCGTTGGTACTGGGGGGCGACGCATGCTCCATGTGAACATGATGAAGCCCTACCAGGAGCGCTCTGAGGAAGTGACCGCTATATGTGCGCCTAACTCCGAGGAGTTTGACAGTTTACCCCTCCCGGATCTGCTGGGAGAGGGTCAGTTATCCGGGGACTTAGGGGAGGTCACCCTGGGGGATCGGTTGAGCCCACAGGAGCGGAGCGAGGTACAACAGCTGTTGAGGGAGAAGCAGGATATCTTCTCTAATGTACCTGGTTACACTCCTCTGGCCACTCACCGAGTAGACACCCCAGGGCAACTTCCCATGCGTCAGACCCCGTACCGCATCCCAGAAGCGGTACGGGCGAACATGCGCAAGGAGATAGATGAGATGCTCCAGCTGGGGGTGATTGAGCCCTCTGACAGCCCCTGGGCATCTCCGGTAGTCCTAGTACCAAAGCGGGACGGCACGACCCGGTTTTGTGTAGACTACCGGAGATTAAATGAGAAGACGGTATCGGACGCCTATCCTATGCCCAGGATAGACGAACTCCTGGATCGGATGGCGAGGGGGCACTATCTCACCACAATTGACTTGTGTAAAGGGTATTGGCAAATACCCTTGGCACAAGACGCCATCCCTAAGTCGGCCTTTGTCACCCCATTCGGCTTGTACCAATTTAAGGTCATGCCGTTTGGGATGAAAAACGCCCCGGCTACTTTTCAGCGGATGGTGGACCGCCTCCTAGATGGGTTCCAGGATTATACCTGCGCATACCTCGACGATATTGCCATTTTCAGCAATACCTGGCAGGAACACCTGACCCATATAGGAGCGGTCCTAGATAGGATTAGGGCCGCTGGTTTAACGCTGAAACCAGCCAAATGCAGCATAGGAATGGCTGAAGTACAGTACCTAGGTCATCGGGTAGGATGCGGCAAGCAAAAGCCGGAACCAGCCAAAGTAGAGGCTGTAGCTCAATGGCCCACCCCTAGGACTAAGACCCAGGTGTTAGCGTTCTTAGGAACGGCCGGATACTACCGGAAATTTGTCCCGAATTACAGTGCCCTGGCCAAACCTCTCACCGACTTGACCCGTAAAAACCTACCCCGCCAAGTAACCTGGACCCCGGAGTGTGAACAGGCATTTCAGTTGTTAAAAGATGCATTGACAAATGCCCCTGTCTTGGCAGCTCCCAATCCAACTAAACGTTTTCTTGTCCACACAGACGCTTCTATGTTTGGATTGGGAGCAGTATTAAGCCAAGTCGGGGCCGATGGCGGAGAACATCCCGTGGCTTACATCAGCCGGAAACTGTTACCTCGAGAAGTAAGCTACGCCGCCATCGAGAAAGAATGCCTGGCTGTGGTGTGGGCCCTGAAGAAATTACAACCATATTTGTACGGACAAGCTTTTTCCCTGCTCACGGATCACAACCCGTTAGTATGGCTAAACCGGGTGGCTGGGGACAATGCCCGGCTGCTGCGCTGGAGTCTGGCGCTGCAGCCCTTTGACTTTAATATCCAGTACCGCCCGGGTAAACAGAATGGAAATGCTGATGGGTTGTCTCGACAAACTGACCTAGAGAAATGATCCGTGAGCCTCCCCGGACATCCCCAAGCCGATCCGTGTTGGATCAGACTGTGTATGCCGGCTTGTGGGCAAGGGGGAGCAGTGTAGCGGATGGCACCAGGCGACCCTACAAAAATACTGTATAAAGCTGCATCTGTGTATCTGCTGTATTTTCTGTGTATTGAAAAAGAATTGTATTCCTCTGATTGTTCGGTAGTTCATTCCCTTAGTTTATTCGAATGAAACTACCGAACAACCAGACCTCCCTGTGTGAAGTGTGTCCTCAATTACCCGTTGCAACATTGTTGCGAACGGGTAATTGAACAGTAAGTAGCCGTCCTTTGTTCTCGGGGGTGGCCGCCATTCGACAAACGAACACGTGGCGGCGGCCATTTTAAAACTCCCGAACAGCGGTGTTTTGCCGTCGAGTGTCTGGAACTAAAATCGGACACTCGAGTAGGCGAACACCGCTGAGACCTCCACAGCCCTGGTCCGTTCGGTTCCAAACTACCGAACGGCCCCTCGTTCGGTAAATAGAGAATACCGAACGAGGGGATTCAGGCGAACCCTCCCTAGCCTCTATAGCTAGAGGCTTTCGTGTATTTTATTCCCTTATGCCAGGACCGACCGCAAGGCCCATTCACATGGAACCGAATTCGGCTAGCTCTGTTCGTGCGGTCGGTCATTTTATTCCCTCCATACTTTTCCCGAACCCCTGGTCCGATCTGGGTGATTTTTGGATATGTTGTTCACCCAGATCAGGGCTACCAGGGGATGTATGATTTAAAGGGGTACCCCTACGTTTAGGGGTACATCCAGAAATGGGGGGAATTGGTGTGCTGGCTAAGGGGATTATGATGCTGGCTGAGGGGAGGGGATGTGTGGGAGGTTACCAGGACAGGATTGGCTACTGTAATAATTACTGTAAATCCCTCCCTTGCATGGGAGCATGCTTTATAAGGAGACTGTGATTAAAGGCTTGTCAGTTATGCTCCTGAAACTGTGTGTCGTCCAGTTATTGGGATTGCTGTTGGGATATTGCTGTATTTTACCTGCTGGAAACCCTGCCTTTGGATTTACTATTTACTTGTTCCTGAGTCTCACTTGGATTATAAGCGGAGATAACCTGGGACTATTGCATCTCCGCTACAACTAACAATGTTGATATCTTGTTGGAGGAAACAAGTCTGCAATGCCACAACAGCGATTGCAAACATTCTTAAATCAGAGTACATATGTAGCGGTAGGGCATATCAAGGTTTACTGCACATTTTTATATGAATTATATACATGTTTAAGAAAGGTTGGGCTATACAAAGTGTGGACCCTATACTACTCCCCAGGTACCTTGGGTCAGTCACAGGAAAGAAACATCCAAGAGAACATTTTTAAAAGAAGTATGTATATACATTTGCAGCTTAGTGATATGGTTTGTTTCAGGATGGCTGGCAAGTCGTTCAGCCTATGCCCTTTGCGGGTTGAACACCGTTCTCCTAGTGTGTATCGGGCTTCAGGCCAAGTGCCCTAGTGCTTGCTGTCGTGGAGGTCGTAGGTGTCTCCACCGCAATTCCCCGCGCTGTGTGGATCCGCAAACAGCCTCGCAGGCCCCGTGCTGTTCGACATGTTCGCTTCCTAGAGGCCTTTACGGATGCAGATATTTGGCACTGTGGCAGGTGCAGGTCGGTGGGAATATTGCGGAGACCCCAGGGGGGAGCGGATGACTTGCGGGTTGTGCTCAGTCCACTTATCTCTCATCTTCCTTCAGAAGTCGTCAAACAGCTTGTCCAGGCGGCATGCGATGCTGGATTGCTGGATATCGTTCCCAAGTAGGCCAGTTTACGCGTGGTGTCCGCCATTTTGGATGTGTCTCCATCTGTGCTGTTGATAGTTGCGGCTCTAGACAGGGGCCCCGATGGGTCTGAGGAGCATCCAGGGTGGGGACCGGGATCACCCCCGCCAGTCCAAAGGGGGGGTTGCGGGGTGATAGCATCAGCATGATGGAGTTCTGCGTGTGTTGGGCTGGTAGATCGCCTTTTCTCCCCTCTATCAGGCCCAACAAGTGGCGGTAAGGTGAGGAGGTTGGGTCCAACAGTGGTAAATGACCGCGGGAAGTGTTCCCAGGCCGGTCAATCGATTGTCAGGTAGAGGCTGTTGGTCCCAGTTTGTATGCTTAAAAACGCTGTTAAGCAAGGATTAGGTCATGTTTTGGCAGGAGATTTTGTGAGACGCGACCTCTCGCTATGACAGTCAGGCCCCGCCCCCCACTTTCAATTTTAATAAAATGGTTACAGATACAGATTCTTAAAATTAAGTGATAGCTAGTTTCTTATACATAAAAATGTGTTTGTTTTTTCAGTTGACAGGTAATAGTGTTCTATTTGGAAGTGTCTGTTGATTTTTAGAAAGCTTTCACTCCTTTGGGATCTATGGGATTTCTGTCCCTTATTTAAAAGTTTTGATTCAGAACATGTGAATCCATTCATCTATCCTAATCTGTGTTAATATCTATCTATGCCTTACGCTAAGCGTAAGAATCCCCCTCTATAGTAGGTCCTCAGGACCCTATTATTTAAAAAACAAAAACAAAAAGAACCACTGCATCAGTTTGGTCAGTGGGCTTATATAGATAGATTTTGGTTATATCTATGTATTTTCCCTGCCTCCTTTAGTGCATTACTTCTCTGGGTCTTTTTCTCCCTTCTGTAGGGTTGTTGCCTAGGGATACCTGACACATTTCTATGGCTGTGCATTGTGAGATCAGTAGTTATGGTTTGTGGTTGTCCTTTGGTAATACACATTGTGATATTGTCACTACGTCCTGCACCTAACAGTCACCTAACATGACTCTGTGCATCTTATTGGCGTAGGCTGACCCAAGGAGTGTGGGATAATAAGGCTATTTACATTTATTAATAAAACCATATTCATCTTCCTTTCTTCTGGCATTGTTTGATAAAGGTCCCCTACTGAGAGCTGAACATCAGGCTTACTCTTTATTTCCCAACAAATGTAGTTTTGTTTGAAGAAGAAGCCAGTTTCTATTTTACCTTTTTCTACGGCTAAGGTGTTACTTGATTTATTCTTATTTTTTTTCCTTAAAGAAGTTTTTTTCAGGTTTCCATTTGAATCAGGATATCACAGATTTGTTAAAAACTGTCCTTCCTTGCACCACTTTTGGTAGGTTCTACCACTGTATATTGGGAACACCCCACAATGCTTGCTCTACCACTTCAGCTGGAAGGCTATTCCATGCATCCACTACCCTCTCAGTAAAGTAATACTTCTTGATATTATTTTTAAACCTTTGCTCCTCTAATTTAAGACTACGTCCTCTTATTGTAGTAGTTTTTCTTCAAAAAATATAATCATTGTTATGCACTTCACCTGTCAGCAGTTTTAATGTGGCTGATCAGTGTATAAATAAACAACAACATTTAGTGGCTATTCCATAAAAATCAACTATCTTTTTTCCTGTTAATCAACAGGTGCTACAGATGGAATTTCAAAACACAAATCAAATGAAAATGATCATTCCTTCTTCCTTTCATTTGTTTTGATTTGATTTTGCCCAGATTTCGGAAGAATCGCAATTCGTGTGAAACCAAAGGCACGAGTCTTCTATTAATTAAGTATAATTTTTAATCCTTATGTCCTATCTGTTTTTTTAAAGAGCGAGCACGAGATTACCTGCACAAGAGCGGACGGTTTATTGTTATTGGAGGAATCATCTCCCCTGTTCACGATTCATATGGAAAACAGGTAAAGATATATTTTTACAGATGCTTCTATAATATGTAATCTTATAAATGTTATTACCTTCTAATCAGTGCATATTTCAAGTTCTATGCTCTATTGATCTATTGATATCGTGATCATGTTCCCCTTATAACTAAATTGCTTAAAGCAAGCTTCCCCAAACTCCAGCCCTCCAGATGTTGCTGAACTACAACTCCCATAATTCTATGAATGAAATAGATAGGCTGAGACTCATGGGAGTTGTAGTTCAGCAACATCTGGAGGGCCGGAGTTTGGGGAAGCCTGGCTTAAAGCATTGCTCTGGTTAGTGGATAGATTCCTGTGTATACTAACATGCTTCTATTGCATATCAAAGATTGAGCTGTATATACAAAGCAACAAAGTAATTGTTTATAGAAAAAATGTTTAATCTTTAACCTCATTTCATTCATTAATCTTTCTTAAAGGAACTCTATATTCAGTAATTGAAGTTGCCACAGTTCAATCTATAAGTTAATGTATTTACTTTTAAGTGAAATGAATGAGTTATCTTGTTATAGATGGCTTCAAGCCACATCCCCAAGTCCCCCGATTCGGCGAGCCTTCAGTTTAATTTCCTGTCTTAGGAAAATTCAGAAAATGTAATAAAGGCATTTAAAACTTCTTTTTAAAATAACTAAGTAATTTTCATAAACCACAATAAATTAATTAGCTACTACACCGTCTCCCAGTGTTTCCTCCTAACATCACCTTGAAAAATAATCCAAATGAGTGGAGCAAGACAGATACCTCCTTAAGTGCATATTGTGTTTGCATTAGTATTTTACTCTTGTTGTTTTCTGTATCCCTTCAAATCAATAACAAAATATCAAAAAAGTAAGACAAATAATGAATACATTTTGTTAATGACACCGTTATGAAACTGAAACTATGGCTGACGTCAAACAATTAAACATGTTGTAGCATTTTCACTTTTACAGGCTGTTATGAAAATATAAACACAGGGGTATCAAGATTATTAAGCTGACACTTTAATAGTAGCGGTTTGTGTGAATTCTTTTGTTGACCAAAATCTATCTATTAAAGGACCACTATAGGCACCCAGACCACTTCAGCTTAATGAAGTGGTCTGGGTGCCAGGTCCAGCTAGGGTTAACCCTTTTTTCTATAAACATAGCAGTTTCAGAGAAACTGCTATGTTTATAATATGGTTAATCCAGCCTCTAGAGCCTCTAGTGGCTGTCTCATTGACAGCCGCTAGAGGCACTTGCGTGCTTCTCACTATGAAAATCACAGTGAGAAGACGCCAGCGTCCATAGGAAAGCATGCACATTCAGCCGATGACGTCGCTATGGAGGAGGAGAGGAGGAGGATGAGAGCTCCCCGCCCGGCGCTGGAGAAAGGTAAGATTTTAACCCCTTCCTCTCCCCAGAGCCCGGTGGGAGGGGGACCCTGAGGGTGGGGGCGAGTACGAGTATGTTTTCCTGGCACTATAGTGGTCCTTTAACTCAAATTAGTATTTTGGACTTGATGAAAAAGAATTCGGTAGAGAGGTTAATAAATAGCACTTTGACTTTAAATTTATATTATGTCACAAATATATTTTGCTTGTGGAACTATACTAAATATTTTTAAAATAATGGTGGAACGTTTATATATCCTCTGATGCTCTAACAATGCTATTTTCAAAAAGAAATGGCTCCTTCGCTTGTTACATTTGTTTTGAAAATTAAGCAGCCATAAATTTGCAGAATATGGAGGCATTGTCTGTCCTTACACTATTATATGGAGAAGAAAGGGTATCACACAGGATTATTTACTAAAATGGGAATTGTTGGGAATTCAAAATGAATACCAAAATAGCTGAAAGAGTAAATAAATTTGGGTATTTGGGTATTTTGACTTTTTCTTTTGAAAGGGGAGATGGGAAAGTTTGGTTAATATACTCGATTGGAGCTTGAAGTATGGTGGTTACTTGTCCTCAGATAGATCCCCATTACTAGATTTAGACTTTCCTCAGTTATCCAAGTAACAGATGGAGCGATTAAAAACCATAACAGATTTAATAAGCCATTTGCAGTTTCACTCTTCAGTCCTTACACATGCATGACTTAATCTTTGAGACAAGAATGTACTAGTGGCAGAATCATAAATGTAGACCCTCCCTGGTAAGGGTGGAGGCGGCTGCGGGCATTGGGTAGGGGATCGGGAGGACCTACATCAGTTTATATGTTGTTAAGGTATTCCGCGGCCTGGTAGAATAAATGTTGTCTTACCTATGAGACACAAAACAGACATTGGCCAAACGTGAGAGTACCTGAAAATGCAATACTATGCAGCTTAGTTGTGGAGAGGCTGTATAGGTTAATTCTATATAAGGCAGGCATTACCAATGTGGAAAACTTTTTAAAACATAATGGCTCCTAATCAGCGACGCAAAATAGTTTCATTGTGGATCTGTTGAAATTTATTCTGACACACAATTTCTCTATTTTTAATGGCACCTTCTACCACCAGATCAGAGGTAATGTGATGGGCACGGCTTGTGCTACATTTTTTGCCAACCTCCACCTTGATTGGTGGGAGAAGCTGAATGTTTTCTCTGAAGAGATGAGTGAATACATTGTATCAATGCTCACATGGAAAGTTTATATCGACGATATTCTAATCATCTGCACTGACAACATTGACAGATTCTATGAGTTTAGAAAGCATCTCAATCAGAATGTTTTGAATCTAAATTCACAGCAGATATGGGAAATCCATCCCTGAATTTTATGGACATGACTCTCACCATCTCATCGTCCAACTATTCAATGACTTCTCTCTGTTTTATTGCTTCTGCAGACTTCAGAGAAAAGTGCAACAAAAATGCATGTTTAAACACACTTGCACTGCACTGGAGTAGTCACCCTAGCATGCAGGAGGTGGTGCGAAAACAGCTTATATGGAGGTAGTTCACTTTCCCAGAATTGCAAGTATGGAAACAGAGTGGCCAATGGGCAATAAATGCAAGTTTCTGTTGTTTGACCTGTCACACTAACTGCCGCCACTGTTAACAATACCACTATTTTTATTTGGAGTTATAGATTGATTATCTTCTTCCATATATAACTCTGTTGGATAACTGACTCACCATAGAAACAACGTAGAGCAGGGGTGATTATTAGGTAGATCCACAGATGTTTTAGAACTCCAACTCTCTTAAAGCTTTTTCATGCTTAAGGCTGGCAAAGCATCTTGGAGTTGTAGTTCTACAACATGTGTGGATCTATCTTTTGGGTACATTTGACCTAAAGAATTTATTGTTTACACCAGCGGTTCCCAAACTGTGTGCCCAGGGGTGCTGCGGCAGGCACACAGGGGCGCCGCAAGATATTTCCCCAGTGCTATGATCCTATGATCATAGCACCGGGAAATGTGCCGCCCTCTCCCCTGCCGGCTCTGCAGGACCGGAGGGGAGATCAGAGATCTCTATCTCTGGCCTGCTAGCAATGTAATGCTGGCAGTCGGCAGGGGAGGGAGGGAGAGAGGACCCGGAGGAGCTCTAACCTGCAGCTCTGCCGGGTTCTCCTATCACGCTCCGAATCTTGCGAGAGTGAACTCTAGCAACTCCTGAGTTCACTCTCACCACTGGGACCACCAGGGCTTCTAGTTCACTCTCACCACTGGGACCACCAGGGATTATAGGAAATGTCCCCCCTTCCAGGCAAAGGTAATCACATCAAAATTATTATTTTATTTTTTTAAATAAAAAAAACCTATATATATTTATTTATCTACCCTTCTCCTCCTACCCTTCCCCCCTATTCACATACACTGCCCCCTATACATACTGCCCCCATATGCACACTGCCCCCATACACACACACTGGCCCATATACACACAATGCCCCCATACACACCCTGCCCCCATGCACACACACACACTGCCCCACATATACTCACTGCCCCCTATACAGACACACTGCCTCTCTCACACACACAGACACTGCCCCACATACATACACTGTACTCCTCACACACACTATACCTCTCATACACACTGCACCCCTATGCACACATTGGACCCCTAACATACACTGCCCCCCATACACATGCACTGTACCCCTCAATCACACCTGGCCCCCACACACACACTGTACCACTCACAAACACACTGCATCCCTCAAACACACGCACACCACATCCTTCACACACACACACACACACACACACACACAAACACACTGCTCCCCACACACAAACACACACACAGTTAACCACACGCACACACACACACACACACACACCACTGCCCCTATCCCTTACTACAGCCCATTTCCTGGCAAACCCCAGGTAGACCCCTGGCATGCTGTAGTGGTTATTGTGTCTGGATTGTTTCTTTAAATAATTTACAAGTGCCCCTCCAGCACCTGACAGGGAAACATTTAACTTGGGGCCTTGGAAAAATATTGAAACATTAAGGGTGCCTTGAACCTAAAATGTTTGGTTTACACACTGGTTTACACAATTTCAGCAAAATAAAGCCTTGACAGTTTTATTCAATGAGATGTTGCATCAAGTGCTTCTTTTAACTCATTTTATTATGTATTATTATAATTTAATACTAATAAAATAATAAAGATTGAGGAAAGTGCAGATTTAAACGTGCAGAAATAAAGTCAGATCTGATGAAATCATTATTGATTTTAACATTTCTCTCTTTAACTCTTTAAAGGGAAACTACATTGCCAGGAAAACAAAGATGTTTTCACGGCACTATCGCTCCCTATAGTTAAAAAACCCTTCTGTCACTTACCTGATCCCAGCGCCAATGTCCCTCGACGCTGGTTGAGGCTCCACTGTAAGAGAACGGGAGTGACCTAATGCACATGCACGGCAATCGCCTTGCTCGCACCAGGACTTTCCCCTATGGAAAGCATAATACAATGCTTTCCTATACGATTTTGGGTGACGCTGGATGTCCTCATGCCAAAAAATCACCTAGCGACCCCCCGAAGTCTCTTTAGTGGATGTGGATGAAAGCCACTAGAGGCGGAGTTAACTTTGGCAAGTAATTATTGCATATTTTATTAAAAATAATTACCACTGCAGGGCTAAGGGACCTGGGACAGTGCACCCAGAGCACTTCAATGAGCTGAAGTGGTCTGGGTGCCTTCAGTGTCCCTATAAGTGCTCTGCAAAGAGGGGGTATTATTTTTTCATTTAAAGTGTTAATCACATGTCTTCTGTGTATTCCACCTAAACACTGATTGTATATCTCTGCCTATTCTCAGGGCCTGGTCTCAAGTCGACATCGCCTTAACATGTGTCAGCTTGCAGTGCAGAACTCAGACTGGATCCGGTGAGATGGGACTTGGGGTTCATAGTGGTCATTTGGAAGAATCTTATTACATAAAAGTATACTTTTCATACTGACAAGAGGGAGTATTTTTGCACTTAAGTAGAATAACCTAAAACAAAGAATTCTGTTTTAAGGGTTATATTACATTACATTAAAAACAATCAGTAATATATTATTTATAAGAAAATATCCACTGGTGCTGGAATGATTACATATACATATTCTTAGTAATCTAGCCATTACTAGGTTGAGTTTATCATATTACAGGCCTACAAGTTTGAAAAGTAGGATACATAACTATATGCTACAGATAGTCTTTTTATTATATTCAGATATTTTCACTGGTTTCTGTGTCTTTCTCCACTAACTTCACTGTTCTTATTTAGGGTTGATCCTTGGGAATGCTACCAAGATACCTGGCAGACAACATGTAGTGTTCTGGAGCATCACCGAGATCTGATGAAGGTGAGACATACACTGTGATCCATGAAATAACACAACAGAGAGTATGATAAGCCATTCACCTTATTAGTTATAGGACACATTCATACGTCCCCATAAGAAAGAATTGTATTCAATACTTTCCTAGCAGCTTCTGTATCACGTGAATGAATTTAACTTGGTCAGTGCAGCGGTAGCACCTCTAGTTGCTGCCAACAGACGTGGATTTAACCCTGCAACGTAAACATTGTTGGATGCCCCCCTACTGTACAGTTTTATGTCTTTTCCACATTGATGTATAGCTTTTTGTATAGATCTATAGAAAGAGTCAGCTTGTGTGAAATGAATATTAAAACATTGTCACATTTCACACCCTGTAATATTTAATAGGATGTTCTAAGGTCGCTGCTAATACATGATATATACAATAAACAGTGTGACAAATTGTTACTTCTGCTTTCGTCTCTGTCTGATTATTTCTGGACAACTTGTACAGAAACTCTGAAAATGCATTCAGGCAATTGCTTTATTCATGATTGGTTTTTTTCCCCCCAGAGAGTCACTGGCTGTATCCTCTCTAATGTGAACACACCTTCTGTCACACCAGTGATCAGCCAGTCCCTCAACCAATCAACACAGCCCGTCTACCAGAACAGCAATCTCACCAACAAGCCCACTGCAGGTAAGTGAACAGTGTTTCACAATCCGTCCAAAAGACAGGAAAGAAATGTGTGAACCTATAACCCCTTCTACTCCCCCACCCCCCAAAAATGTTTAACTAAAATGTCAAATTATGTCCATCATTCATATAATGTAAACTGAAAAAGTAAACACCATTCATTGTCTTTTTTGTGCACATATGATAGTTCCTCTTTGATGTAATACCATATTTGGATAGAGATTATTTACAAAGAATAGAGGAAAAGAGGAAAGGAGAGTCCAACTAGGGACACGTTCCTCACCTGACCACTAATGTGCTTTATATATTAATGCAAAAAAAATCTGCGAGGGAATATTCACTGGCACCCAACATTGTGACCTGCTCTATATAATGCTTATCTTTGTGTATATATATATATATATATAGCGGGGAAGTAAATCTATGCTTTCCCTCATTCCCCTATAGTAGAAGAGTAAACAGGAGTTGTAACAGATACAAAGAGTCATTAATTCTTGGGACGAGCAGTAAGCAGGTATTGTGGACCCTGTGTTTTTGGAAACACTGTTTATTGTTAAAATCTTCCTTAAAAGATTGGGGTCAAAGCAATGTTGTAATTTAGATAGACTTTTATACCTCAATATTTTTTTTTTGCACAAATGTTGCACTTCTTTCTTCCTATCAGTGAGGATCCTCGGGAAAGTGGGAGAAGGACTGAGTCGTATATGCTGTGTCCGCCCCAACCTGCAGCGTGTTACTTTTGTGGGTGAGTGTTCTATACTAATTATATAGTTTGCATGTAATTGTTTTTAACCCCTTAAGGACACATGACATGTTTGACATGTCATGATTCCCTTTTATTCCAGAAGCTTGGTCCTTAACAGGTTAAGGTCCATAAACCATGACATACTCTGTTTCTATAATTCTTTCTTTGGCTTTCCTGTTCTGTTTGTTTGTGACAGACTACAATAGACGTATACGGGAGATTCCAAATCTGTTTTAAAAATGGCAATATTGTATCCGTTCTGCTTGTCAGTGACTTACGTATATGTTGTTGACATTAAGAACACGACTATGTGGATATAATAATTTCATATATTTATAGATACTGTAGTTATTCAATAAACTGTGAATTGTGGTGAATTGACAAGGAAGTTGCAAATTTGATAGCAACATTTCCAAGCTGAGTTGGTGACATTTTTCAATTCATGTGTTTTGGCCCCAAATTTGCAATTCTCTTGTTGGTACTTCACAATTTGTAGTTTAGTAAATAAGCCCATTGTGCTTGGGTAAAGAAGCAACATCACCAACAATGTGAATTGGTTATTAAAAGTTTAAAATCTGAACAATATCATAGTCTAGTAGTGACTTTATACCATCTGATGAGCATCATGACCTCTCTGTTATTTCATATACAAGACTGATGAGTTTTGAGAATCTAAGGCAACCATTAAACAAGCAGATGACTCAACCCCTCTGTTATCTGTTTGTAAAAAATCTGAATATAAAGGAGAGTGCCCCACACAGTACGATAAACACATATCATTTCTGCTAAAAACTAGACATTTCTCCAAACATTTGGTTTATTAAGAAAGAACCAGTTGTGGCCACTATTTACCTGTTTGTAGGCATGAATAAAGCTTCACCTGATGTTTGAGGTTTTTACAGACTTTATTATTTGTTTAGCTATGAGATCTATCGAGAGGGCTTAATACAACATGGACAGATGTGCCTAACGGAACTTTAAAATGAAGACAGTCTTTCCATGTTGTTGAATCTAGTCTTCAGTCTGGTGATGCTTCCTCTTCACACTAGGGAAATAAAGTCATTGGCTAGGCTCAGTTACACCCAGAAGCCAGCCGGCGATTCATGATAGTAAATATCTTGGACCTTTAACCCCTTAAGGACACGACAGAAACTTTCCGTCATGATGGTCTTTTACTTCTGAAGCTGTGTCCTTAATGGGTTAAGCTGTCCTTCAAAGGAAACATATTTTAGCAGAAGTGTGTCTCTTTATGCTGCCTATTAATTTGACCTGAATGTGTTAATACATGTGATTCTGGGATACTAGGAACATAATAGTCAGCCGTAGCCAGTGCGGACAGAGCAACATCACAGTAAAAAAAGCTCTAAGCAAGAATGATAAATTTAAATTCAAAGCGCTATTTAATCTGTGCTAATGTTTTTGGACACTTTGTGTGGGTAGAGGTCTCTTCAAACTTTATTTATGGGCCTGTTTGGAAGTACTTTAGGTGGTTGTTCCCAAAATGTATGCATTTCTCATGGGTTACCCAAACAAAATACTTTTTTGTAAATACTCACTGGCAAATTTTTAGTCTTTCCAGTCCTGCTAAGGCAAACTGTGCATTATAGGCAATGTAGTCTGTAAACATCTACAGGGCCAAGGTTAATCATTATTGACATATGGAATCAAATGTGAATTGTCGTTCTGCAGTCAAGGGAAAACAAATTAGTTTTCATTAGATTATTGTATTTTATTAATTCAACTAATTCTTTCATTCCATGTTTCAGATGAAAATGCTAACCTTGGAACAGTGATGCGATACGAGGAGATAGGTATGTCTAAATGGGAATCCATGTGATTGGGTGAACCATCTTAGATTTGATTAGGGATTAGGTAAAAACTATATCTTGAGATACAGCTACTAGACAGTAAAGTAACAACCTGAACGGAACGCTAAAACATAATCTTGAACCGTTGCTTGGTCCACAGTTGTTCACACTTTCTTTTGTTAGAACACACAGTATCTAGTATGTGGTTATGCCATTCACGTAAGTGTGGATTACAAGGTCCGAGTAAGAAAACACAGGAAATTTGATTGATTGTGCTATGGAAATGTATTAATGGGTATCTAAAGACATTTTTCCTGGGATGAAATGCTGAAATCAACATAATTCAGATGATTTTACCCCATTATTTAATGTGTCATATCCGTCCATGTTCTATGATCTATCCATAGCTCACCCCACAGTCCCTTAAGCAACAATTTATATTTCACCCTGTGATATTACACTATACCATTCAATATATCACCATATAGTCTAAACCTCTGAGCCTAAATGCCTACCTGCTAGTGGTGCAAGCAGTTACAATGAGAAACGGCATGCAACATGGCTAGTTCTAAGCTACCCTGTGACTTATTGCATTTTGTTTGACCCCATGTACTTCTCATACAGGTATAAGGTACAAGAATAATGTTACAATCATGTTATATCATTAGATTTCATATTAGTTTGATTACTTCAGAGTAGACATGAAGTAATATGTTGTAAAAATTGCCACCCAGGCATGTTTGCCCTAGTCTTAATTTTCCTATTTTTTATTCTCTTAGAACTGCGTATCTTGCTCCTGTGTGGAAGCGATCTTCTTGAGTCGTTTTGTATACCAGGCCTATGGAACGAGTCTGATGTAAGTAAATACACTAATTATATTCAGCAACTCTTGCTGGATCTTATATTACTACACCCTAGACCAGGCATAGGCAACCTTCGGCACTGCAGATGTTTTGGACTACACCTCCCATGATGCTTTGCCAGCATTATGTGTGTAAGAGCATTATGGGGGATGTAGTCCACAACAACTGGAGTGCCGATGGTTGCCTATCCCTGCCCTAGACTGACCTAGTAGATATGTTTCCTATCTGGAACTTGTTGTGACTTCTTGAGATATTAGTGAATGGATTCCAGTTCAATTTGTGTACAAAATTAAAATCAAATGTTTCCATGCAGATGGAGGTGATTGTGGGAGATTTTGGAATTGTGGTTGTACCAAGGGATGGAACGGACACTGAACAAATCATGAATCACTCGTCTTTGCTGCGTAAATATAAGGTGTGTTTAATTGTTGTGTTTTTGGTGTATTTATTCAAGAGAGCACAATTTCCAGATGGCAGCAAAAAGAACAAATGTGGAAAAGTATTTCTACTAAAGGATAGTTCACATTATCCCTTAATGGCTATTTAAAATAACCATGTAACCATTAAAGGGACACTATAGTGACCTGAACAACTTTAGCTTAATGAAGCAGTTTTGATGTATAGAACATGCACCTGCAGCCTCACTGCTCAATCCTCTGCCATTTAGGAGTTAAATCCCTTTGTTTATAAACCCTAGTTACAACTCCCTGCATGTGACTTGCACAGCCTTCCATAAACACTTCCTGTAAAGAGAGCCCTATTTAAGCTTTCTTTATTGAAAGTTCTGTTTAATTAAGATTTTCTTATCCCCTGCTATGTTAATAGCTTGCTAGACCCTGCAAGAGCCTCCTGTATGTGATTAAAGTTCAATTTAGAGATTGAGATACAATTATTTAAAGTAAATTACATCTGTTTGAAAGTGAACAGTTTTTTTTTCATGCATGCTCTGTCAATCATAGCCAGGGGAGGTGTGGCTAGGGCTGCATAAACAGAAACAAAGTGATTTAACGCCTAGATGACAGTGAATTTAGCAGTGAAATTGCAGGGGAATGATCTATACACTAAAACCGCTTTATTTAGCTAAAGTAATTTAGGTGACTATAGTGTTCCTTGAAGCATTTAAGATAATAAAAATGATATTTTATCTTATAGTGTGTGGACATATTCTGTGATGTTGTACAATATAATGACATTACATATAAGATGAGATACAGTTATGGGTGAAAGATTGGTAGTGTACAGAGCATTGTGTGAAGTGTCTGTCAGTGTTTCAAATCAGTAAGATTGTGTCTATCATTGAGAGTGTGTGTCAAATCAGTGAGAGTGTGTAAGTGTCAGTCAGTGTGTGTCTGATTACAAAAAGAGGCTGATAGATGGATAGGTGGAGTCGTTGCCATAGAAACATTGTCTGGACTGGACATTTGCAAAGGGGTGAAGTTGGTAAGGTGACCACGTCCATCTAGGGGGTGCAAAAATAAACTCTGTACCAAAGCATCTGTGACCCTAGGAGTGTGGTACAAATATTTGCTTCATTTGCATGTCTATTCTGGAAGGGTCAGAAACCGACATATTCCCCTTCCTCTCCTATAATTTATTCTACTCATTGATGGTAAGTGATGCATCATGACATCTTCTGTAAAATAGTCAAAGTGGTTTTAGGACCCGTGATTGTTTAATTATGTAGCATTTACAAATAAAAAAGAGCCTAAAAGACATAAAGCAATGTTGTTGGTTTTTCTGCAGAGGAAATAGAAGTAGATATAGTTAGTCATAGTAGTAGTAATAAACTGATTAAATTCTTTGAAAGTGACAAAGTAAATGTGCCAAGTGTCAGTATAACAGGACAGGATAATTGAAAATTATGCAAGAATAATAATAGAAATGTGACATTTTGTTGTTTTTTTCCTCTCAACAGAACAATATTCTGGTGGTTAAAGATGACAGTAACCATCCAATGTCTATTGTCAGCTCCACCAAAAGCAGGTAGAGTCCATGATACAAAGTTTGATGTAAGTTTGTAACTCACTTCTATTACATTAAATGTACTTTCTGCTCTCATTTAGGCTGGCTTTGCAGCATGGGGACGGACACGTGGTGGATTATTTGTCGCAGCCGGTCATTGATTACGTCTTGAAAAGCCAGCTCTACATTAACACATCGGGCTGACGTCCTCTACAGAAAATGTGCCCGGTGTAGCTCAGTGCTCTCTCTCCTCGTCATCACAATGTATTACTAATTACTACTCCCCACTATTTCCTCATCGGTCATACCACCTGTACGAACACTCGTTCCTCATTTATTACTGCTCATCCACTTCTACTCTCTGCCCCTTTCATTCCACTAAAGATGTATTGATGCCGATGCCCAGGGTATATGGGGCACACACCTCAGTGAGTGTTTGAGGGTGTCTTATTTCTGGTGGGTTTAAACATCAGATCAATTTACTCTTTAATAGAAGGAAGATGGAATAATGTGTAACTCATATAGTGCATGGCAAAAAAGTGCCACACTGAATGTGTTTATAATTATTCAGCTGGTGATTTTTATTCCCAGGGTTTCAGATTTATACAGAAAGTGTTGATCACCTTTAATTAATATCCAGTATTTCACATACTGATACAACAGGGCCATAATTCTTGCTGAAGGCACTTCAAGAACCTATCATGAATTCTGTTTCTATCACACTATTTCCTACTGGACTATGGGTAATAGTAACCCAGGAATGTTATTGTCTAACCACTGCAAGATTACTGCACGTGACAAGCATGTTCTTGCTGTGCCCCTATTTCTATGGTGTTATCAAAATGTATATTAACCTCCTGACTGGGAGGGACGAGCATGCAACTATTCAGTAACGTGCAGGGATTTATAGGAAAGCAAAAATGAAGAAGAAAAAAATGAATTACATAAAAATGAAACATTGAAAATAGGACATCCAGCACAAGAACAAATATGAAGATAAGGTGCAGTTCCATTTAATGGCATGTAAGATAAAATAAACAAGGCACAGACAGTTGTATGACATAGTCCCCGTCGTGGTAGAATGTCACGTTAAACTTTGTAAATAGTTCATTTTCTTTCCGGCAGTTGGATGGTTCTGTGCAGGGCTGTATCTTTTTACACCTAAGGGATTAATTTAATGACAAGAAAAAAAATCTGTCCTATTTTATCACACACTAAGGGCTTGCATCTTAGAGAATTAGGTTGCATTAAATATTGTTGTCATATATGTATAGAATGCAACCTTTTAATCGGATCGTATCAGGCTTCCAAAAATTCAGTTAAACTCTTACGAAATACAGTAATTTTACATGAATGCTTTACAAATTGAAAAGTATCTAAAAATAGACATTATGTTTAGCTAGGTTTTGATATGTCAAATATGGTGGGAATTTTCTCTTCATAATGTCAGCACATGAATAAAATGATATCATGTGTACTACATGCCACTAAGGTATTTTGCTGTACCAGTTAATATATCCAAAACATACAGTTGAATGATGTTCTCCAGCACCATCATTGCAGGTGTTAACCAATTTCCCCCCAAATTAGTGGGCAAGCCTTAATCGCTGACCAATGTTTTGCCATAGAGAATGTGTTTGATAACAGTTGGTATACAGAAATTGAAAAAGGGTAACCACTTGAACTGAAGGTGCTGTAGGATACAAATCCCATTGGGATTTGGTCCACATCTCAAGTTCATCGTTGCCTAGCCATGTACATACTAGGTGTCATAAAGAATACTGGCTTATCATTCCAAAAAAATTGAAATATTCATCAGTTCCAACAATCCTAAAACTTGAAATATTCATCGTTCCAACAATCCTAGAGCCCAGGTAGCCCAAAGATCTGCTTTAACCTCCAGTACATGCTGATTTGATTGATCCATCTCTTTTTAGTTATAAGTGCTTCAATTGTAACCTTTTAGGGTTACCACACAACCTTTTAATCAGTGGTCATTTCTAAAACATGCATCCTTCAGGGCAGATGAAATTCTAATGTAGGCCTGCAGTAAATATTTTGTATCCTGCGTTAAAGGTGAGAAGAAATATGAAACAGGTGCTTTTCATGTATATCAACTGTTTCAGCAGCATATGATCAGCATGGGGGATAACAAGGGAGACATATAGGGTGGGTAAAATCACAGGAGGGCTAATTTAATTTACAAATAAAATAATCTTGCGATACAATGTCTGCCAAGGAAGTGGTTAGTTGAGCAGTTCTTTGACTATTGTATTGAGTTTTGTTCATATTGTTGCTGTTTTATCAATAAAGATTTTGCTTTGCTAGAAATGTGTGAAATGTGGTGTCATCACAAAACAAAGTGCCATTATTTGGTTATATTTTATTAATAAATAAATAGAAATCAAGTAGTACATGTATGGTCTCTCCTCTTACACATTTAGACTCCTTCCGTCCAATGTACCCATAGGAAAATGAATGTCACATCAAACATGCACACAGCCCTTCATTACAAATACAAACACTGGACCGCTCTGTAGCATGAATGGTACATTTTCAGTGTCCCCTGGATGGAATCACAATTCTCATGGTATGTTTAATGACCCAGTGAATATTTAATATCTCTTCTATACCATTCAGCAGTCTTTTCCTTGTCTTGGATGGTCCAATGATTCTTATTATCTAGTATCTCTTCTATACCAGTCTTTTCCTTGTCTTGGGAGCTTTTAGGGTCTTTCGATAGCTGTGGTGGAGTAGCATCCAGGAGGCAGGGTGGCAACAATGTCCCTCAGGTTCTGTATGTCGATGAGGGTCTCACTGATTTCTGTGTCAAGGCTGAGAATTCTTTGCCTTTGACGGACAGCTGCCAGTTCCATATCTTCCAGAGCTGGTTTGAGACGATCATAGAGCTGACTGCGAGCTGATTTCAGACTGCGCTCCAGAGTACGCACGCCTTCCTCATCACCCGCCTGAGGCGAATCTGCAAAGAAAGAACAGTCATGTATCTAAAAGAGGACTACATCTTAATAGGAGTACACAGTTATAACAAGTTCAGAAATAAATAGCAGTAACCGAAGATAAGCAATTTTATTTATTTGCAGGATGAATCACTTTTTTTATATTGGGTGAATTCATCTGGTACAAATCACACCCAGTATACACTATGCCTGTGATTCCTGATTATTGTCACCTCTTGCATTAACTAAACCTAATACTGACAAAATACACCATCATATTTCAGTGGTTCCATTTGGATTATCCATAGATATTCAGTGACTAGCTGAACTCTGAAAAACTAACTGCAGCCTTCAGAGGTCACAGGCAGTCAAATTCCCATTGACGGCAATAGGAGTTGAGCATGTCTTGGCTATAACAAAACGTTTTTTGAAGGTAGAAACGTATATTATTAATTCTCAAGTTTAGCTATTGAAATAGAGAGAATTGTGAATCATTTGGTTGTAATAGTCTGATATTGGGTATTAAGAGTTTTAAAATATAAAAGAGGTTTCTAGAGGAAGTCAAAAAAAGTAAGGTTGAAGTTTGGGATATATGTGCAGTATTTTCCAAACATGAAACAGCATTATATGAAGTCTGTGTACAATGTTGTTGCACAGGAAAACTTGTCCTTTAAAGAAAGACAAGGATAACAGAAGGAGAAACAATGGCCTGGGTGTTTAAATTAATAACTGCAACATAAAAGCGTTGGGGATTAAAATTAGACTAAACCCTGGTTTATACAATATTAGTTCTCCCATTGATGTAACAAACACGTGTTAAAAACAGAGATATGTTTAACTGCTATAGTAGAATTTAGCCCACCGGCTGCTATCCGATAATTTAACGAAAAAAAATTGCAAAAAGCTAAAGGGAGAGACTAGGCACTATGACCACTTCAACGAGTTGATGTGGTCATAGTGCCTAAAGAGTGTCCCCTGGTGCCACAGTGATACAAGATGTTAATTATGTGGTTTGTTAAGTTTTGATAAGTATATATGCTATTTATCCAGGGAAAGTGCAATGGTAAAAAAAAACAAAAAAAACTGCAAATGCTGGGTCATAGTAACTGGAAAAATTCTCCAAATCAGCTTTCTTTTCTTTGAAATCTGCATTTTCTTTCTAAGTTGTCCTGGTTTAGCAAACACCCCCTCTAGGTTCAATGTATAGTCTTCATCAATGTTTTACAGAGAGTTTACCGGAATGTGTAATGTGAATTTGGTGGGGGTTATTGGTCTATTCCATGTAAGTGGACTGTACGCTACTTGTTTAATTGGGTAGCCTTATATAAAGCATAAGGAGCCTTTACTCAGAGATGTGTGTTAGTGTGTTGCGCATCAGATATGTATTTGTTGATTTTGGTTACATCTATGACTAAATAAGGTTTTTTATTATGCGTGCAGAGAGAATAACTGCAAGGTACGGTATGTATAGGATCAATTTACTAATATATTTGTAATTTAATCAGTGCATGCAGGAGTAAACCGACACCTCCAGAGAATTGATTAGCCTGTCACTTACTCATTAAACTTAGCACGTGATCCAGAGCACCAAGGGTTGCTGTAACTGCATCGCTGGCACCGGAAGCCTTGGTCTCAGCTTCTGTAGCTGACTGAGCAATCTGATGGAGAGACAAGAGGTAGATAAGAATAGAGGATTGGAAGAAAGGAATGTAAAATATAGAGAATCCTACAATGGGTAAAAAAGAAAGGCAGACAGGTAGCACAAAGGGGAATATCTGAATTCTGCATTCTTTATTATTATGTATGGACATACGATTTTTTTAACCCCTTAAGGACACATGACATGTGTGACATGTCATGATTCCCTTTTATTCCAGAAGTTTGGTTCTTAAGGGGTTAAACAGATTTATTTAAAGTCACTTTTCTGAAAACTACATAATTCAATAAAACCTGAAAATCGCCTACGTGTGTTAACTTTTTTCTAACACAATGTTGCTTTGTTTAAAATATATATATATATATATATATATATTTTTTTTTTTTAAAAGACTTTGAAGGTGACATCACATTCAAATGTATTTTCAGAAACCAAAAAAAAATCTATTTTGCTACATATTGACTATAATTAAACCTAGTATTAGATCAAAGCAAGGAACAGTTTCCCTTTAAAAACATTGTACATTCTGATGTCTTACCCCAGCTGCCGCAGCACTGTCTAGGTCAGCGGTCTTAGTCCTGCTATCTAGATCATCACCTGTGCCTTTTGTCAGTCTGCGCAGCTCTGCAAACTCTCGCTCCAATGCAAGAGCCATCTCTGCTGAATTGTTAACATCATTCCCCATCTGAAACATGTCCTATGGAGCAAATAAAGGGGCATGTTGGCTTACTGATGCTTTATTACACAGATTCTTAGCCTGCAGCACATGGACTGGGAGTCTTAGAAGTTAATAGTATGTAATATAAAACTATTACAAAAAAACTATTTTATAGAAGTAAATAAAAAATAGAGAGCAGGTAGATATATCTGTAAAGGATCTAAATGCCATGCTATAATCATAATAAATAAGAGAGGCAATGGTCTTGGCATATGGATCATAATCCATTGTCCTGGCTAATATGCATGACATAGGAAAATATTTGGCATTACCAGTTGTATGGCAGTTGCAATGCTCTGAGCTTCTCCAGCATTCCCTGCTGCCAAATTTGCATCTTTCTCTGCTCCTTTAAGAGCATTTGCAGCTCTTTCTGTAACATCGGTGGCGGCTTCAACCCGCCGCCGGATCTCAGGGAGACGTCTCATTGCATCTTCAGCCTCACTTCGCCGATCTCCTACTTTGTCACCAAAGCCTGGGCATCAAGATCCAAATATATATACTTAATAATGTTATCATACACAACAGTTATACATCTCCTACTAGAAGAAATTGGATCTAAAGCAACATCAGTATTTCAATACACCTACAAAGGTAACATGGACCAAGTGAAAATGATGAAAAGTATAAAAAAGGCTCAACACATAGTGCAGTGATACACGGGAAAAGTTGCACACAGACATTAAAAGCACTAACTAGATATGAAAAAGTAAATTGGTGGAATATTTGCCACTCTCAATAGTTTATGGGAAATGAGAAAATCACTTGTTTTCTTAATCCCTTAAAGGACTACTATAGGCACCCAGACCACTTCAGCTTAATGAGGTGGTCTGGGTGCCAGGTCCAGTTAGGGTTAACCCTTTTTTTCTATAAACATAGCAGTTTCAGAGAAACTGCTATGTTTATAAATGGGTTAATCCAGCCTCTAGTGGCTGTCTCTTGACAGCCGCTAGAGGCGCTTGTGTGCTTCTCACTGTGATTTTCCCTTAATGCGCATGCGGCTCCTGCCGTGCATGCGCATTCAGCCAAAGAGGAGGAGGAGAGCTCCCCGCACGGCTCTGGAGAAAGAGGTAAGTTTAACCCCTTCCTCTCCACCCAGCCCGGCGGAAGGGGGACCCTGAAGATGGGGGCACCCTCAGGGCACTATAGTGCCAGGAAAACGAGTATGTTTTCCTGGCACTATAGTGGTCCTTTAAGGATACATGACAGAAATGTTCGGTCATGTTTGCCTTTTACTTCTGAAGCTGTGTCCTTAAGTGAATAAGTATGGGTGGTCTTTGAGGGATTCTAACAGCAACAAGTTTTGAGTTGTATTAGAGCTGTCTACCATGAGTGTGATAGCCTTCACCATTAGTAACTGCAGTAGACTGACAATGTAACAGCCCTTACACTGTGATGATCATGTCAAATGTGCAAGGTAATTATAACGATTTACTGTGTATAAAAATGCTATGAGTTTTTTTTATTTTTTTATGTGGGGTCTTTTCTTTTGCACTAAAATTCTACCTCTCCAATACTTGCACAAGTGATAAATGCACAATTATGATAAAGATATGATTGAACATTTTATGTCTTGCAAAAGCATGTTAGTGCATAAGTGTGATTTATTGCACTGGGCTACCAGACTTTTTTAGTAATAAATCATGAAAACAACACTGGCATCACATGGTATATTGAATTGTTCACCCTAGGACTGTAGGCCACATATAATTCTTGACACATATGGTATGTATATTTCAATACAGGTTTATATACTAAATTCAATACTCCAGGATAACTAGAATTAACTGAGGTTGAAACAGCCGAGCTGAGATAAGAGCGTAGTTGGAGAAATTTGACTAATCCAATATTTGAGCCTTAGTTTTTCTATTTGGACCTAACCTAGAGTTTAGAGAATAACCTTGATTAGTTATTTACTACAACGACTCACCTTTCAGGTTGCTGAGTATACCCTCAATTTCATAGAAGGTGCTGTTCCCGGTTCGTAACGCTTGTTCAGCTTTGGTCTTTGCAGCATTTACTCGTGAGAGGTACTGATCTGCCAACTGCAAGACAATCAGAAGAATCAAAGTGTGACAACATGTACGTTACTATATGTATTCTCTTAAACTTACGGCCTTCCCAATACGTCCAATATTTTGGTGACTATGAAAACAGAACTTGATACGTTACAGCCACACTCAAGGTTAAACCTTTAGGTAATATTACAGTATTTCCTTTTAATATCCACTATCGATGTCTTTATAGGACTTTCTTACCAATTTACTTTCCCGTCCTTCCTGGAGCTTCTGTTCTGCTTCCAGCTCCCAGGCGTTAATTTTCGTCTGAAGTTCTTTAGTCTGAGACATTTCTCTATCAACAGATTCCTTGATTGCTGCGGATTCCACTCTTAGACGCTGCAGCTCTGCCTAAACAGACAGTAATTTAAAGTTACCAGCTAGAACACAGCATTTCTTTTCAGGATAATTACAACTGTGAGCTGCCTTCTAGCCGGTGGGAGCACAATACTAATCACTATCATTACCGAATACTAGAACACTGATCCACTAACAGAAATTAATGTTTACGCTGTTAGCATTACAAACTAATCATTATTAGGAGATAAGAGAATGCACTTTGGGTGATTATGCTTTGGATTTTCATATACCTGTATAGTGTCAGTCCAAAATTGTAACACATATAACGTGTGTCATATAAATAATGGGAGGTCTATCATTGCAGTTTTCTAAAATATGCAATAAATTTAAATTAGTTTTTTTTTCCAGACAGTCAAACTAAGGGGTCTACATGGAAATGGATAATATGATGTATGGATATAGACTACATGCATTTTATTAAGTTATATATTTTTATTCTTAAGCATTTAACATATTTTATATTTAGTATACATATGTATGTTCCGGTCTGTTCGAGATTAGTGGGAAATTTCTCTGAAAAGGCATCTCTGTGCACCCCGTTCCCACTAGAACCAGAGGTACCCCTAATGCCTTTATTTACCTGGCACAACCCAACCTTTGAGAATTACCCGGCCTCGGATCCCAAGTGTTTCCCTCTCCCCCCCTCCCCCCTTCCCCTGTTAGCTGTTTGACTTGCACTGCAGCAATTTTCAGTAGATCAGCAGTTGCCATGGTTATGCCAATATATGAATTCATTGTTTCATTTTACATCATCGTTTGACATTCTACTCGAAAAATACCAAGGCCGTATCTTTAAGACCTTTACACTGCTGAAAAGGGATACAGCGATTAGCCTTGGCTGCATCTCCCTGAAGGAATGGATTACTGGAAACTTTCTTTGTCCCGCAGGATTCCAGGAAAGGCGCATAAAACAGTCATCACAGTAGCAGCATGCTAGCAAGGCCAGAACAGCACTGGGGTACAACAGGTCAATTTTATTTCATTCATTAAACAGTGAGCTAATGTGTGAACAGACCTCGAAATATTTAGTGGGACGGACAGCTGTTATGTAACATAGGTACCTGAAATTCCACAGAGTTGAGGCGGGAGGCTTGTGCCACAGCTCGAGTGGTCTGCATGCTCTCGTGGTGGGAACGCTCTGCGGCCGCTGCAGCTTGCATGGCCTCAGTTTCCAATGCTGCTGTATCTGTACGGGCCTGGTCCATTCTGCAAACACAGCATGCAACATAAAGTGTTACATTTTATATTAAAAGAAAGGGTCACTATGTAACTCTGCTACACCAAGCATTTGCCAATCTAAAGACAATAAATCGATAAGGATAAATAAGCGAGCCCAAACACAAAAATGAGAGAGCTATGTCAGGACACAACATTTGCACTCCACACTATCCATTTGCAAGTAAAAATTAAACTAAGTAAGTGTACTATGACCTGTCCTACCTTTAGCTGTAAAGGGCTATGGATTCCCTAAAAATATGGAGTCCGCAAGTAGCTGAGAACAGCATCCTGCAACATCCAGCAAGCACCCGTATGTAGGTAAATGTGAGAAGATGAGTGGGTAGCCTGTGCCCGCTGCAGTCCTTTCTATACCCAAATGTCATATTGCATGGGGAGAGAATTGCTATGGTAAATAACTTTTAATCCTGACTAGAAGCATAGTAGTTTGAGCCATGTCTATGGTACCCACATCCCAATTCTCACTGGAAAACTTACTCAAATCCTAAAACCATTACTGCCCTGTAAGATTTCCTTGTTAAATATTAATATAGATATCCTACAACCACGCTGATGATCACAGTTCCAAAGTCCTTATTTTGAAGCGGCACTGGTACACCTACTAGAGTTTATTCATTAACAAAAAAATTGGGTAGATGTGAATTTTGAATTGTAAGCTAAAAGACTTAAACTATAACGATAAGTCAGTCGGAGAATTTTGCTTGTATTTACGGTTTGGTATTTACTGAATAAACTCAGAGTCACACTTATATCCATGCTTTGTATTTGGTTATAGATATACCTTTTCCTGAGACGTTCTGGAGCACCAGGATCAAGATCTGCAGAGCGTAGAATTTGAAGAACTCTTTGTGTGTCTCCCTGTGCATCGGCCGCATCCTGAGCTGTAGTTTGAGCTTCCTGTGCCAGCCTACAAGAAAGAACAGAGCTCTGCTCATTAAAGAGTAGTATAACTCAAAATGTTTTATACTGCTTCAAAATAAGTATTCCAACATCCTAAAAAATCGATTTGACTCATTAACAAAATGTGTTACAAATTTATGAATCCATGAAAGACCATGATATGTTGATGAATAGTACCAGGCTATCCTCTCTCTATATACACAAACTTTACTGCTGGGGATTATCTGCATTTCTCAGTTAGGGCTCTGGGAAAAAGTCAGTCCTGGGTATGGTACTTTGGAGAAATTATGTTTCCATAATTCTCCCAGAATCCTGAGCTTGACATGCAAATGAACAAAGACAGGCAAAGTCCAATGAGAGAGAGAGTGAGAGTGAGAGAGAGAGATACACCCTCAACACAATTACTATATTTAAAAATTAGATTTTTACTCCATTCCCATTTCTAATTACATTGTGTCTCTGAAAGGATCATCATATATGTGTCCATTTTTCTAATATAGGCCCATTTTTCTTTTCAAATATTTTTTTATTGAAATTATTATTATTTCACCGTGTGTCTAAAAGTCTTCAATGCTATCAATATCCGTTTCAGTATTTATTCAACTTTCCCAGCATCACATGGAATTAACCATACACAATATTACACCGGTAACAGGACATAAACTGTATACAAAGCATTAGCCTCTAGAACCATTCTTTAACTGTAAAACTATCTCAGTGAACCATTCTTTATGTCCAAATATTATACACTACGATCTAAAAAAGATGCAAAACACGTTTTCCAATATCATATGCATCCCTGGAGATTGCACTGCTGTTAGAGTGAATAATTCATTGTAGGTAGTTGCCTGGGACTTAATTAATGTGCCTCGTCCAACAAATGAGGACCTGACAAAAATAGCAACATGACAGTTTTTGGTCCTGGTCTATGGGTTAAGAACTACTGAATTAACTTAATATATTCTCTGTTCCTTATCTTGCCTTCAGTCTCAACTAAACATGCAGCTTCAAGGGACATAGCGTTCCTGCTGATTTTTAGTGTTGCCATGGAATCACAGCATCATGTATCCATGGCAACTATTCATTCATAAATTTCAACACAAATGTCTATCATACAGAATAAAATTACCTGTCCGCTATTGTCTGAGCCTCTTGGCTGAGCTGGGCGAAAGATCCAGAACTCAGTGGTAAATTTGTAGATGAAAATGTCTTTAATGAAAGAAAGAAATAATGCAGATATTAATTAAGCGAGGTGTTTGGCTCCAATTCACAAATATATTTTGCAATATAACTCAGTAAAACAATTAAAAGACAGAAAAAAAAAACAGAATTCCAACAGCATGCCCATCATTGATTTTTAAAAGAATATTCTAAGCACCAAACAAAATTAGCTTAATGAAGCAATTTTAGTGGTAGATTGTGCCCCTGATGTCTCACTCTCTAATTATCTGCCATTTTGAAATTAAGCCACTTTTGTTTTTTTGAGTTAGGCTCCCCTGGCTGTGACGGGCATAGCCTGCATGAAAAAAAATGGTTTACTACTCAATCATATCTTACAGCACAGTGTGTTTACTTCAGCAGGTCTTATACCTTGCGATAAGAAATTCTAAATTAAACACAATGTGCAAAAAATGGAGTTTAATTTTTTTTTGGAATTTACATAAACAGAAACAAAACTGTCTTAGCTCCTAAATGGCAGAGAATGGAACAGTGAGATGGCAGTGGCATGATCTTCACACCAATACTGCTTCTTTCAGCTATAGTTGTTTTGGTGCTCAGAGTGTCCCTTTAAGCTTTATAATATAATTACATACTACGAGAGCTAGAAACAAGTTCAGCTCATTAGACTCTCTTTTATATCATCTCTTAAATCTGGGTTATTCACTAGATTGTGAGTTAACCAAAGAATTGCAACAAATTATAGTTGACAAATTTGTGATGTAATGTTTGCAATTCCCTTTTCTCAATTTATGGTTTAGTGAATAATGCTGAAATGAGAGCATACGCCATCTTGTAGTGTGAGATTCTTGGGTTTCAAATTATCTTTTTAGAAATAATCAATCTAAGGTTGTGAATTTTAAGTAAATTGTTTCATAGATTGGAATACATAATAATTGCTATACAACATATGTTTTGTATTTGTGCTATCATTCTTTTTTTTGCACAATGATTATTTATCAAGATATATTAGTCATAATTCCACAATATTCACTAAGTTTCAAAAATTGCACATAGCGCAAGCAATGTTTAACCCTTGCATGCAGATAGCTGGCAAACATTTTAACCCATTAGAAGAGTCTTCGTTATAAGAAAGGTTTGATTTCAGTCTGCATAAATCAGTAACTTAAAATGGGCACTCTACCCACCATAACCACTACCATTTACTGTAGTGGTTATAGTTCCAGCCTGCCTCTGGCACATTCCCTGGTTCTGTGTCAAACCATTAAGTACCAATTTTTTCCACATACCAAACGTCCCAGTTCTGCCAGCCTGTCCTGTAGCTCAAGCCGCACGTTGCCTATCTTCTGTTTTGTGTCCCGCAGCTGTCCGTGGTACTGACTGCTCTGGGCCTCTACTGCTTGCAGTTTCCTTTGAGCCTGCTCCAGCTCACCCTGAGTTCCAGACTGTGCCCCCTGAAGCCCTGACAAACGTCTCTTCACAGACAGCTCTGCCCCTAAAGGAGAGATTGATGGGTTACACATCACATAATGCAAACAAGCTTTACCTACAGACATTCTATGGATGGCTTTTCAGCAGCTTTCTGGAGAAAGCCATTTCAAGGTCTCCAGAAGCAGCCATTTTAAGGTATTCTGAAGACATCGTTCTTTTTAAAAAAAAACATTTTTTGCATTGGATTAGTGAATTTTTATTGACATTATTTAATAATATTGCACAAACAAACCCCAAAGCATAAGATATACAGAGCAAAGAAAAAAAAATAACTCAAGAGGTTTTGAGAGCCCAACAAGCAAGCTTGGTAAGTCAAACTCTGTGCAATAAAAAACAACTTGGATTTTTAAGTGCCGTTAACTTCATTTTAAGGGGATATATTTATACAAAAAGAAAAGGAATTGAATACATAAAACATATCTTAAAAGCAGTCATGGACCTGTCAACTGCAAAATAAATTGTAAGCGATAGGTCCATTTAAAATTTTGTTTTTCAATCACTATGTATTGTATAATACAGAAAAACTGAGCAGTAAACATTATTATTTTTTTTATAAAGCATCAAGGGCATTCTGTATATGCTTTAATGCACAATATATAATACGTTAATGATTAAATGTAATCATAGGACACTTATCTTTTAGTATCAGCCCTCAGAGAGACAAAAGAGCTACATAACTAGCCCTCTGCTATATAGATCTAGCCAACACTCTGTTCATTATGTTCAGGAAGTTAAATCCACAAATCAAATAGTAATGTGATATCTATGCAGCCCTAGCATTGTTTGGATTTAAAGAGCTACTGCACCAGAGACTGCATGGGACTACATGCAAGTCAGCAAATATACCATGTATAATATAGCAATAAGCTAACAACACACGGCACTGCTCTGTGTAACCGCATCTAATCTGGTATGGCAGAAAGGTTACTATGGCAGTCATATGCATGCTGACAAAACATGGACTTCTGGGGTGCTTTAAGGACCTACTGGGCGTAGAACCACTGCTGTAGGTTGTTCTAGTCCATCCCTATTTGCCCCAGTGCTCACCTTGTGCTCCTTCTGCCTCTCTCAGCATGCCCCGTGTGGTGGCTTCAGCATTTGTCAATCTCTCCTCTAATTCCCTTCCTGCTGGGAGCTGGTTAGGAGTCGTACCAGACAGTTCATGGATTTCCCTCTTGTATAGACTGATCTATAAAACAAACAGTACCGTGAAATGGAAATGGAGAAGAATAATGCAGAAACTGGAGTGTAATCTTGGAAACATAGACTTTGACAGAAGATGAGATTCAAAAAGGCCCCCAAAGCCTGTCCATATTACATTAGAATAATAAATGTCTTGGGATAGTGTTATTCTTATCCCAGAGACTCCTGCATTCCTTTAGAGTCATTGTATTTATCACCTCTATTGAAAGTCTATTCCATGAAATCATTGTACATACAATAAATACTGTGTTGGGCTAAAAGGATAGAATCCTGATGAATGTTGAGGTGGGAACACCAAACCAGATTCCACAAAAAGAATCAGAATCTTGCAGGGTCTTACCTTCTCACCCACTTGATTGTAGCAGCTGGGACACTGAGGGCGATCACAATTCTCACCATCAAATCCAGCTTTACAGACACAAGACCCATCTTTCTGACACCCTCCATTCACAGCGCCCATTGGGTGGCAGTGACAAGCTGCAGTAACAGAAAGACAAACAGTATTAAGACAGAAGCATAACTGTGAAATGGATACAGTGGGTTTCAGTGGACTGGAATGGGTGATATGGGATGTTAGTTAATGTATGTATTTAACTGTTAAATAACCGTAATAGATGGGGGAGCATCGTGTCATTGTCAACTGTAAAACATATGAATGCAATAAGAATTATAATAATTTGGAGCAAATATAATGGCTGTGGATTGAAAGGAACAATTAATTTTATTTACTGTTGAATAGAATTCAGAAACCCATTTTACCTCTGCACTTCAGCTCGGGATTAGGATCCAGTGGGTTCCCATAGAATCCCTCTCTGCAGCGGTCACAATAAAATCCACCAGTATTGTGAACACATTTGAGGCATTCTCCAGTCACCCCATCACAGTTCCCCTCCACAGTAGGATCGATATTGTTACTGCATACACAGGGCCTGCAGGGACGTGGTGCTCCATGTTGTCCCTGGGGGTCTCCAAAATATCCATCTGCGCACACCTCACACCGTGGCCCTGGGTTTAAAAAAGAAAACAACACATATTTAGAAAATCCCCCTGGAAAACATAGACAAGCCTGAATGTGGATTACATGTCAATAAATATTTAAACAGTAACCCTGCATTGCCACTAATATGCATTTACATTTCAAAACAGGTCTGCAGACTGCAGCAGCATAAGTCAGTGACAGGGGGCGCTGTGCTCAAACACTTTCAGGGTTCCTGGTTTCTAATTTTGTTTTGTTTTTACATTGCACTCCAGCATTTTGAATACAGGCATAGGAAATGTTCTCATAATTGAGATCCGAGCCTGCAGCTTCGACTTTATGATTTAATCACTAAACAAATAGCTAAACTGTAATAGAACTGAAAACTTATTGGCACGTTTTAGTACAATATAGCTACGATTTTTAGCATATAAGTTTTTTTTTCCTTTTTTATTTTGTCCTACATTTTTCAGTTTGGTGTTCAAGTCACCACAATTCCCTGATTAGTGACCAATAAGTAATTTTTGAAAGGTAGCCTCTTAAGCTCAGGAGATCAAACAGAAGTTCCTGCTTAGTAACTTTCGGCTCTTGGAAGACGGTAGTGGGCATGGGGAACCAAGTCTGGTATACCCAAAATGTTTTCACTCTATATGATGGGGAGGCACCAGGGCTGGACCATAACTACTCTAGAGAGCTGTACTGGTTACAAGTCTGAAGTGTTCATTTTATAAAGCTGAACTTGTACCCTAAGCACGAACACACTAATTCTGGAATTGTAACAGATTAAAATTTGAATGGCAAAATTGGAGCTCAGATTGTCACGCTAGGGCAATAGCCGAGTTGGAGAGATTTTCAACTTTAGTTTAATGAAGCAGTTTTATTGCATAGATCATGCCCCTGCAGTCTCGCTGCTCAATTCTCTGGCATTTTGGAGATAAACCACTTTTGTCTCTGTTTATTCAGCCCTAGCCACACCTCCATGAAAAAAAAATGGTTTAATTTGCAATCAGATCTTCCTTACGTCCACCGAGAGGGTGCCCCCAAAATATATGTCGCGATGGGAGCAGGACATGGGCACTACAAAACTCCTCCTACCAGCATATCAGCGCTCACTCACCAGACACCTCCTAAATGCTGCTAAGTCCCTAATTCGATTCGGTGCAAAACGCAAGTACCAACAATGCAAAACTGGATGGACAAGGTCAAGGAACTACATGAAATGGAGATACTCACGGCCTCCCTACCCGGGACCACCGAACGATGCATGGCTGGACTTCATATCCAAGCGCAATACACATCCTGCCCAAGACCATGACACGGCCCTCACAACAGATGTCAAACTAATACACTGAATCCATTGACCCCCAGGGGGCCTGGTGACGAGGCAATGGAGGGATAGGTCCTTCCGATGAACGTGTTACACATGGGCTTGGGCAGGGAGGCGGGCGGCCGCAAGGGTTGCAGTGCTGCAATACTAGTAGCTGATTGCCCTTACTCAAACCCCCCTTCCACCACTCCTACCCACCCTTTTTGTTCTCCTTCCTTCTCCTTCTTACTTTCCTCTCTCCTTTTCCCTTCACCTGTCGCACATTCTCTGTCCTTGGGCAGGCCTGCCGGTTTTGGGTAGGCGGGAACACAGAGGTTAAGTTATATAACTTGTTCAATTAAAAGATACACAACCTGGCTACCTGACCAGTTCGAATGCCTGGCATGGGCTAGATGACCACTGAGAGATGACACACAAAGGATCTTGACAGACACCTTTACATACCAACACAAGTACCGAAATTCTTGAACAGCCTGCTCTGGCCCTGATAGGCACTAATCTCCTCCGAGAACACATTCTGCACTTACGAATAGCCCCCCAGACAGTCAGTAACTATAAATCGACTAGTGTCACCCCAGACATAAAAACGCCCACCCCCTTCTCTCCGCTATCTCATACACAGAAAGTAGTTGAGCGATGGGGGTGCATGGGCAGGGAAGAAGAAGCAAGGAGGGAACACAGGAAAGAGGCGGAAAGAAAAGAGAGAAACAGGAAAAGGAGGCTTCCAACGTCTTATTGAAACCGCACACTTAACCCTGATAACTCTCCGAAACTATGTCGCTGCCTTTCCTACCAGATGATATGTCAATTGTAATCACTAAACCTGTTATGTCTATAAAGAGCACTGTGTCACTGCAAAACTGTTTTGGTATATCTAAGCCTCAACATAAATTTGCAATCAGATCTTACTTCGCAGTGTGCTTAAGTTAGAAGTTTTTAACTTCTACTTTGTAAATTAAAATTTGTTCTCAAACAGGGGGCTGTTGCATGCTCTAGCACGCTTTAAGCAGTGTATGAGATTCTAAATTAAACACACTGTGCAGTAAGGAAACCTAAAAACCTTAAAAATACAATACTATTTCTATCAGGAAATGTGTAGGGAGACTTTGTAGGTCACATGCAAGGTGTGGCTAGGGATGCATAAACAAAGTGATTTAACTCCTAAGTGGCAGAGCACCGAGCAGTGAGACTATAGGAGCATGATCTATACACCAAAACCACGTATTGCAGTTGATTTGGAGCTTAGAGTGTCTATTTAAAGAGGTAAGGTAAAGTGTCATAATTACACCCCATATAGCATATGTAATATTAAATATCTTGCAGTTATTGGGTGTTTCTTGATTTTTTTAATTAACTTTGTATAGAAGTATATGTTTTCTAAAATAAAATATTCAGTCTGTTCTAGGAATCATACAGATTACACAAAAATAACAACAAAAATACATTTTAAAAAAAACCCCAACAAATAGTTTTTATTAAAACCCACCTCCAAGGGGGCGGGGCCGGACCGCCATGCTGAACAGTCGCAAAATAGTGTGGCTCCTGCAATCTCTCCCAGTTTTTCAGCACAAAAACGACAATACCTACCTGACAGCAGCGACCCAGTGCAAGAAGCCACCCTGGTTCCGAGGAGAGGCTTGCTGCAAAGTTCTAGTCCCTTGGAGGGGCGCTCTCCGTCACCCATGATGGAGACCACTCGGGCGGTGAGTGGGGTGGACGGCCGCTGCCCTGCTATCCTGCCCACCAGCGGTGTGAGCGAAGCACAAGGCTAGGTAGAACCGGCCCTGTCTCCCCCCCTCTGGACCGGGGGGGTGATCCCGGTCCCCACCCTAACCCTGTCAGTGTGCAGCAACATCAGCTGTGGCAGGGGGCCCCAGGCCTCGCAGGCCGCAATCAAAATGGCGGAGACCGCATGTCGAGTCACCCGCGATAGACGGAAGACGGACGCACCCACCTCACAGTGGTAGCAGGCCGGCACAAGCCACATGGGAACCGCCGGGCACCTGCAAAGACCCACCCCAAGCCAAGCCAAACGGGCGGAGAAACCAGAGCCACCTCAAGCCAACGCAAACAGCTCCACAAGCAACCGCTGGAGGTCGACACCTGCAAACTACTGCCTAAACACCGCCAAATGCTCAACTTAAAGAGGAGACAGTGCTCCAGCTACATAGCTCCGCATACTGAACCTCTAGGATCACCGCGCAGGACGCACATGGACAACAACGAGGCTAATGGGACTTACCTCCTGCACGAGACGGGCACTTGATGGAACCGCAAGTACACCACAAGGGGACTCACACTACAACTAACACGGCGATCCTTCTGCCATTATTATGTTACCCAAACGGGTCTCCTGGCACAAAACCATTGACTATCATCTTGCTGGCATGGGGGTCCCCCCGGGGTGGAAAGACTCAAAGTGCAATCACACATGTTTGAAGCTTTCTCTTTGTTATGTTTTTTTTTTTTTTTTTTGTTTTTGTTCTTTCATCTAGTGTTGCCTCCAAGCTACTGAGAACCTAGTCTAAGTTAGGCACGCCACGCAGCAGCTTATTATTTACTCACTCAGACCAGAGATATACTCCACCTTTCTTTAATCAGCCCAGCAGGCACTTAACTGTATATATTCTCACTCACAGTTACCACAGAGGCAGTATAGACATACTTATAATACACCACTTCGCCTCTCCGCTGATTATTTTCTGTACACTCAGGCAACTGAACAGGCGTAGATGTTGTCTCTCACTGTTCCCACACCTGATGTATATGTATGAGTACCTGTGGAGTGTTAAACTCATCTTGTTAAACTCTTATACATTTGCTTCGCTAACCAGTAAGCTTGGCATGTTTTTGCTCGCATATTCATGTATCTCACGCTTAACTACACGAAGGTATGGCAGACCCATCAAGAGAGGCACTAGCGGTTAAACGAACCATACTACTTAATCCAGCCGCCACAAAATGCTCACGTATCTCAGACATGTCAGTAAGCGTTTGTGACCAAATGCCCACTAACTATACCCTATACACAATCTGATAGAATGTTCCTGTTATGAATCTGTTAATATATAAAAATGTGCTTATTACTCTACTGCTCCTAATGTAATGCTAGATAAAATGCTCGAGGATTGCTGTTGGGGCACCAAGAGCTTGTATGTTCTAATCACCATGCACACAAAAATAAAGAATAAAAAAAAAAAAAAAAAAACCCACCTCCAAGTCCTACAGGGCAATCGTCACACACAGGTTCCTGGGTCTCTGGGGACAATGAGCATCCAAAGCCAGCACTGCAGGGGCATGGCAAACAGTTCTGGAGATCTCTGGGGTCATTGTAATACCCCTGGAGGCAGTCCGCACAGTCATTATTCAGATCCTGATCTCTGGAGTAACAGTCACCTGGTGAGAGTTTAAGACAGACAGAAAGATGAGAGCAGGCTTATTGTACATTTGTAATAAACTGACCAGTTTAATCTGCCATTACACAGCTTGATCTAAGTGGCAATGTTACAAGCAGAGGGATGAAAGGAGTTAGTCTAGGCTACTCACCAGTGTCTGGGTCACACACACCACCACCTGGGCAATTGCAGGCAATACACGTGCTAAAAGAACCCAGGGTTGGAGACTCTCTGCGGTACCCAGTGGCACACCGCTCACAGAATTGCCCTTGGTAGCCAGTAGGACAAACACACTTCTCCACCCAGGGGGCCGGAGCTCCAGGCCCAGAACGAGCAGATATCAAAGTGACTGACTGCAGGTATCCCGTGCCTATAACATAAACAAACAATTACATTCTAAATCTTCACATAGAAGAATCTAAAAAATGCCACAGACAGTTGTTCTAATAAATAGCTGCCGTCAGCAGAGTGATTACCCCGATGGTCTGCATTAGTAAGAGGTGAGATGGTCTGCATTAATAAGAAGTGAGATGTACTGCAGTTGTAAGAGGAGAGATGTTCTGCAGTTGTAAGAGGTGAGATGTTCTGCAGTTGTAAAAGGTGAGATGTTCTGCAGTTGTAAAAGGTGAGATGTTCTGCAGTTGTAAAAGGTGAGATGTTATGCATTAATAAGAGGAGAGATGTTATGCAGTAGGTAGAAGTGAGATGTTCTGCAATTGTAAGAGGTGAGATGTTCTGCAGTAGAGGTGAGATGTTCTGCATTAATAAGAGGTGAGATGGTCTGCATTAATTAGAAGTGAGATATTCTGCAGTAGTTGTCATGTACTGGCCTTTCTGTAATTCTCAATGGTCAGCACATTTGGGTTTGTGGGCTGCAGCTTTTTGGGAAGGTTGTGCACTTTCAGCCTAGTAGGCCCATAATGCCTGGGTGTTTCTATTTGTGCATCAAAATGTACATAACCAGTATCTATCCGTGCAGACTATTTTGACTAAAATTAGCAATTCCCTTGTCGGCGTCCAATAATTCTTAGCTCAGTAAGTATGCCCTTTAAAGAGATCGTATAATGGTATTTGGATCTTCTACAATAAATCCCACTTACTGTATTCTCCATAAGAGCCACGGATTCGCAGTGAAGTCACATTGCTCAGTAGACGGTGGAAGTCTAATTTGCTTAGACGAGGATTCCAGGGGCTTCCCGATAGCTCATCCAGCCTGCGTAGAGGAAAGATGGGCAGCAAGATATTACAAAAGGGGAGAAGGAGGCAAACAAGGGCAAACAAGTAAAATGTTGCTGCCAGAGGAAATGGACTGATAGGTTTAAATAATTATTTATACCTGGCGTACTAGCAGTGTTTGATGTTGCTCATTTGAGCCCTTGGACCAAAACCACTTGGCGGTTAATGAGGCAGAAGGCAGACGGAGTGAAATAACACCTTTCTGAATAAAGTGTGCGATAATAAATTGATATTTCTTACAATACTTAGTGTTTGAGGTTAAGAAATAGAATATAATGTGTCATTTTCTAGACTGCAACTCACCAGCTACCAGTCATTAAACAACTCCCATTACCTTAGCTGATGTCCTCTATAACCCAAGTTATAATCTCAAAGGAAAGTAAAATATTTACCAGGAGCGCTAGTTTCTCTTTATTCAGAACACGGTGTAAAAGTTATTTTTATGAAAGTTTCCAATGATCTGTTTTAATCTCATCCATTACATTGCATAGAGAGGCTTCTCATCCACTATTGCATTACCTGAACGAGTATGTTTGGGGCAGTCTGCAAGGCAGGGCAGTTTTGGACGTTGTAAGAGGGGAAGAAATTTTGAAGCCATTCCCCTCCAGCACTATGTCTTCGGCCCCCGCTCTGTGACGTCCTCGATCCACACGGAAGCTTATAATCAGTTTTTGGCCATAGCTCAGAGACTGGTCACCCAAGAAGATTGCTAGAATGAGAGTAACAAGCTTAGAACTCTATTCACACCTTATTGTTATGTTAAAGTTTGTGTGAAACCATTTTATGTGTAGATGGATTGACAAAATCCATATCAGGGGCTTATATGCTACAAGTGTGGGCAAAATTAAAGGAACACTATAGTCACCTAAATTACTTTAGCTAAATAAAGCAGTTTTAGTGTATAGATCATAAAAATTTGTTGAGGGGGAAGGCAATTTAGCTGTGCTTTAATGTGTGGCTTGGTAATCTGGGACTTTCCTTGGACACACTGTGGCAAACAATAAATGATTCTGACTTCCAGTGTGAACAGCTAACTTCATAAAAATTAGATTACTTTAACAACCTATTCCCCTAACTTAATTTAAAAAACAAACAATAATACACCATCTGATACCGATGTGACTTCGCCGGGTTGATGTTGCTTGCATCCAGAAAACTTAAAAGGAAGTCTAAGTAGTTGAATATATATATATATATATATATATATATATATATATATATTTTAATTCTTCTTGGTCTCAGCTTCTCATTACTTTTTTCACACTTAAAACCTTTGTTATGAAGTCCTTATCCTGCAGCTTCATGATATAGCAGGTTTATTTAATTAACCTAGTAAAGCACTTTTGGCTGGCAAAGCATTATGGTAAATATAGTTCCACAACTGCTTGAGGGCTACCTACCGGCTGTTTTTGTGGTAAAGATGGCTGTAATATCCTACACATACGCATGACAACTTAAATCTGTGTGGAAACACATCTCTTGTATTTCTCTGATTAAGGAAAGGAATACAGTGGGGTCACCAGTACCTTACTCAGATAAAGTACAACAGATAGAGAGTGAAAACTTTTATTTTCTGAGTTTTTGATTAACAGAAGAAAAAAAGAATTTTAAATGGATGTTCAACGCAACAGAGCAACATTTACTTCTTTAACAGGTTAAAATTTAAATTGCTGCCAGATCCTAGTGACTTGTGATAAATGTAGTTAAATAGACTCGAGTTGACACATTCAGCATATCTGTTTAGTGCTGAACCAAAAATGATTCAGCGACGTAGCATTACTTTTATATATTTTTAATGTATCATCTAGCTGTGCTGGGAGACAGCTTTATATTTTACTATTTGGATATATGAAGACAACAATAAAGCGATTCCGGGATAGCAATTCTTAAACTATGTACCTGGGGCATTGAAATACAGAGGTTCTCGCTGTCGGGATGCTAGGTAGACTTCAGGGTGGTGCCGAGACTTCCGAAGAGGCACGGGAGATATAGATCCATCTTTCAGGACAGCATTCCAGCCTTCCATGTCTGTAAAAAAGGAAGAATTACACATATGAGTATAATGAGAGGGAAATCACACACATACACTTTAAGAGTACTACTAACTGAGCGCATACACTGAGGGAGTACCACTGATAGGACACATACACTGAGGGAGTACCACTGATAGGACACATACACCGAGAGAGTACCACTGATAGGACACATACACTGAGGGAGTACCACTGATAGGACACATACACCGAGGGAGTACCACTGATAGGACATATACACCGAGGGAGTACCACTGATAGGACACATACACCGAGGGAGTACCACTGATAGGACACATACACTGAGGGAGTACCACTGATAGGACACATACACCGAGAGAGTACCACTGATAGGACACATACACCGAGAGAGTACCACTGATAGGACACATACACTGAGGGAGTACCACTGATTGGACACATACACTGATGGAGTACCTCTGATAGGACACATACACCGAGGGAGTACCACTGATAGGACACATACACCGAGAGAGTACCACTGATAGGACACATACACCGAGAGAGTACCACTGATAGGACACATACACTGAGGGAGTACCACTGATAGGACACATACACTAAGGGAGTACCACTGATAGGACACATACACTGAGGGAGTACCACTGATAGGACACATAGGCTGAGGGAGTACCACTGATAGGACACATACACTGAGGGAGTACCACTGATAGGACACATACACCGAGAGAGTACCACTGATAGGACATAAACACCGATGAAGTACCACTGATAGGACACATATACTGAGGGAGTACCACTGATAGGACACATACACCGAGAGAGTACCTCTGATAGGACATATACACCAAGAGAGTACCACTGATAGGACACATTCACTGAGGGAGTGCCACTGATAGGACACATACATTGAGGGAGTACCACTGATAGGACACATACATTGAGGGAGTACCACTGATAGGACATATACACCGAGAGAGTACCACTGATAGGACACATACACTGAGTGAGTACCACTGATAGGACATTTACACCGAGAGAGTACCACTCATAGGACACATACACTGAGGGAGTACCACTGATAGGACATACACACTGAGGGAGTACCACTGATAGGACATACACACTGAGGGAGTACCACTGATAGGACACATACACCGAGAGAGTACCACTGATAGGACACATACACTGAGGGAGTACCACTGATAGGACACATACACTGAGGGAGTACCACTGATAGGACATATACACTGAGAGAGTACCATTAACATGACACATACATTGAGAGAGTACCACTAACATGACACATACATTGAGAGTGTACCATTAACACGACACATACACTGAGAGTATCTCTAACAAGACACATACATTGAGAGAGTACCACAAACATGACACATACATTGAGAGTGTACCATTAACACAACACATACACTGAGAGTGTACCATTAACACAACACATACATTGAGAGTGTACCATTAACACAACACATACATTGAGAGTATCTCTATAAAGACACATACATTGAGAGAGTACCACTAACAGGACACATACACTGAGAGAGTGTGCGTACACAGGCAGCACTGCTAATAGTTAGTGTACACAGGCAGCACTGCTAATAGTGGGCGTCCACAGGCAGCACTGCTAATAGTGCGCGTACACAGGCTGCACTGCTAATAGTGCGCGTACACAGGCAGCACTGCTAATAGTGCGCGTACACAGGCAGCACTGCTAATAGTTAGTGTACACAGGCAGCACTGCTAATAGTGCGCGTACACAGGCAGCACTGCTAATAGTGTGCGTCACAGGCAGCACTGCTAATAGTGTGCGTACACAGACAGCACTGCTAATAGTGTGCGTCCACAGGCAGCACTGCTAATAGTGCGCGTACACAGGCAGTACTGCTAATAGTGCGCGTACACAGGCAGCACTGCTAATAGTGCGCGTACACAGGCAGCACTGCTAATAGTGCACGTACACAGGCAGCACTGCTAATAGTGTGCGTACACAGGCAGCACTGCTAATAGTGTGCCTACACAGGCAGTACTGATAATAGTTTGGCACATGTCAAAAATGTTTAAGAATCTCTCTGTGTTATTTAGTAATTGCATGAATTGTCAATAATTCAAAGTGAACTTCAATTTCTTGTCCATAAAAGCCAAGAACTCGTCAGGTCAGTCATTCCAGTTACTTTGGCCTACAGTAGGAAATTCACAACAATTCCCATTGACGGGAATAACTAACTCATTACTGTGATCTTGTATGGCTCTCTCTGAGTCTTGTGCTAATGGAAAGTTGCCACTAGAGGGCCAGTCTTACCTTTCTGGAAGGAGGATGTGATATTATGAATGCTGTATTGAGTTGAGCTGCTGCAAGATGTAGAATGTCCATGACAAAAACACTGTAAACAGCCTTCTGAGTGGGAAGCATCCAGATCATAATATCCAGGTTTACACCTATCAGACACATGGAATGTTACACGTTAGACACATGTTATAATGTATTTACTGTGTTCACCAATAAGTGGGTTAATTTACTAATCCAGGAATTGTGGAGAAATGAAAGAACTGCAAATGTAAAGCCAAGAAAGCCAATCTGGATAAAGTAAGTGACTCAAACATTCTAACATGGCTATTTTAGGCTAGGTTGCAATGCCCTTGCAGAATAGTGTCTTTTTAATGTTGCTCAGGACCCTAGGCAGGATTTCAAATTGAGGCCCCCTCCCAGAGCCCCAGGCTATGTTCTGTAAGTGTTGTGTGCGTGCATTGTGACTGAGTGTTGTATGTGTAATGGCTGAATATTGTGCGTGGAGGAGGCTGACAGCTGTATGTAGGGTGGAAGAGTGTGTGTGTGTGTGTGTGTGTGTCTGAGTATTTTGTGTGTCTGATTATGTGTAAGAATTTTTTTATTTTGCCCCCCCCCCCCCTGCCTACATTTTGGCAGGAGGTGGTATGATCCATGGTGTTCCAATGGAGACCATTCTTTGCATGATCCATGGTGGACTGGTTAAGGGAACTTTGTGGTTTGAATCAATATCAGGTGCACATCACTTTAAGAGCTCCCTAATGGTTCTGGTGCTCAGTCAATTACTAAAAGTGATCTGTAGACCACAAAGCTCCTTCGTGCAAGTGATGGAACACATGGCTGAACATGAAGATCTTTAGATCTTCCTGATGGCTCAAGGAGGGCCCCCCTCACAGCAAGAGCCAATCAGGGATTCACAGGGCCACTGTGAGTCCAGGTTCTAGGTGGCTGCCTACGCTGGGGTTTACTTTCTAAGGCCTGTAGAATACATATGCCAAAATGAATCCCCAGTAAGCAGAATGGGGCCAACTAATGTGTTCCCTGTGGGTTCTTATCAAAACAGTCTAGACATTATATCCTCTTCAGCTTACTGAAATAATTATGGTGCCAGTGTACCGAACATTCATTCTTATGCGTGTCTAGCCCTGATCATCACATGGGGTCAGTCTTTATACTTGCATTTGTTTGCTGCTCAGAGTAACTCCTGCAAGCTTATCCAAGTCAGTTGATTATGTTTGCTAAAAAAAAAGCTGGAAAGTGCAACTTCCAGCTCTTTGAATGACACTCTCTACTCTAAGAGCCTATTTTGTCAGTCGGACAAATTAGACAAAAGCAGTGAATGTACCCTTGTACAATATCCACTTCAATAAGTCAAAGTAGTTATGGTGTTGAGGGTCCCTTTAGTCTAGATTATGTGCTCTGACTAGGATTGTGACTTATTTATTGTCCAGACACCATTAAAAATATCGGACAGCATTGACCTACGGAACCACACAGCTATTTTGTTTCCTGGTGCTGTTTACTAAGCACACTCCATCCTATGAAACATCTCTTCAACTTGCTACATTCCACACAGAACTGACACATCTGCTCATTGTGATGTCAAACAACGCAATCTGTGTTAGAGGTTTTACTCTAAAGCAGCAGAGGAGAGATTTATTAAATGTCTGTAAGTTATTACAAACCTACATGTACATACTGGTATTCATTTTAGAAAAGGAAAATTTCTGCATACAACCCCCTATATGTAGTTTGCTTTATGTTTACATTAGTACATGCACTTACGCCATGCGTTGAGTAAAGAACCATTACCGTGCCACATTTACCTGTCACATTGTTCTCCAGTAACTGTTGCTTTGCACACACATCTCCCACCAGCATCGCATCCCTGAGTGCTCCCTGCAGGGTCACACTGACAGCCATGTCTCCTGTACATTGGAGGGATACATAGATTTATATTAATATTTCATTTTCATTGCATGTCACAATGATTTAAACATATAATAATGAATGAGGAGTTCAACCAACTAAAATAAAATGCACTTTATTATACAGGTACAAAAAAAATCACAGGTATTACACAATATCCAAAATAGAAAGTCAGAATGAGTGAGAGGAGGGTGAAAAAAAATCAAAAGATAGCCCCCAACGTTTCGGTGTATGTGCCTTTATCAAGGGAGCATACTAAATAAGGAGAAAAAAACCTATTTAATATCCCAAACAAAAGTTATCCATGAGTAACACCTGTGTGTAATGGGTGGCCACCCACAATGATTAGAGATCTCCCAACCATAATCACATGGCTATGATTGCCAAGGAAACCAATGGGTATGAAGTAAACACATATAGTAATTACATTTGACATGATCGAGAATAAATATAATAAAAAAATATAAAAAAAGAAAAAGCACAGTGAATAGATTGAACTCACAATCTGTTTAAAGCTGACGATCTATTCACTGTGCTTTTTTTTTTTTTTTTAAGTGAGCCTGTCAAACAAATTGTGTGCCCCCTATTGTGACGCTATTGCAGGCAATCTCTTGTTAGTTTCCTCTTTATTTATGTGCAGGTAAGTTTTCCTAGCTTGAGTCCCGACCACTACATCCTGGATTTAATAGAGTACGTGCATACGAGGAGTCGAAGATGAAGCACCTTAAGGTACAATGGTAGTGCCCATTACTGTTCCTGACATCAAATGTGTAATGCATACATATTCTAGAAATTTAGATAGAACAATGTATCGGTTACCGTTTTTTAAGACAAAAAGTGACATTACGTCTGCTTCCATAGCAAATACTTTATTTTGCATTGTTGTTATTACTCATTACAAATTATTCTAAATACCTGCAGCCAGCCTCAGTAAGGAATTGGAAGCCAGGTTGGCACTGGTCGCACTTCTCACCCATTACACCCGGTTTACAGCTGCATCTTCCAAAATTATCACATTGTGGGCTGAGAGAGCCTGTAATAAGAAGGAAATTGTTAAGGAATTGCAGGGGTAAGATAGTAACTGGTTTAATATCTAGCAGCTTCTATTCACTAGCTTTGGTGTTTCCCATTATTAATTCTATGAGATCTTGCTAATGACAGCATTTCAACGATTAGAAATTCCTTTCAGCTGCGTTAAATGAATCAAATACCCATCAGTCTATGGACAAACAAATCAATCTGATCAGTTTCCCTAAGTATGGGTCTGAGTCTAGTTATAGGGTCAGGAGAACAGACAACTATCTGGTCCGGTAGGTTGGAGCTTAGCTTTTGTTCTAATTTTATGTGAATAGGGAACATCTTCCACTATATAACTAGACTGCCATGGGTATTGTCAGGGTTGTCAATAGCAAGGGATTTACCTAATCTAGGTTTCGAATGGGATTAATAAACAGGAAATTTGTCAAGCAGATTTAGTGTCCCATCCTACCACAATACGGCCTTTAGTAAATATACCTCAAACCATAACACTAACAAACAGAGCACTCTACTGGACAATGCACGTGATTTAGGGAACAAAGGGGCATGTGCCCTATCTGCTTTAAGACTGCATTCAACTTACCTTTAGCATCGCAGGAGCAGGGCGCACAGTTGCCCCCAGGCAGTGGATAATACCCCTCCTTGCAGCGCTCACAATTTGGGCCATCAGTACCTCCCTTACAGTTAATACAACGGAACCCGGAGCCTGTCTGTGCCAGTAAATCTGGGTCAAACACACACTGATGGGTGCGGCCATTACAGTTGCAGACAGATGTAGAGACTGGTGCGCAGTGAAGATAAAGAGATAAAATAACAAATAAAATCTTATTATTTGCCATTAACAATCACAATTCATATAAAATAAACTGATCAACAAACAGAATATACCCTTGTGGGTGGGATCAGTCTGTTCTTAAAATTGGTTTAAGTTCACTCTGTAGCAGCGCAGGTGAGCTAAAACTTACGGATCACTCTTGTACATTGATCTGTCATTTTTTCTTCTTTATGACTGTTTACATATAAGCTCAATGAACGTTTATTGAATGTAATACTTACTTAGGTTCTAAGAAAGAACATACATAGAGTAAGTTGTAAAAGTTTTGCCTGCTTTTTGATACTATTCTTTAACAGCCTGTTTTGACGTAGTTACAAACAGCATACATTTCACTGTGAATTTGTTCTTTTCAAAGTGAATATAAACAGAAACCTCTTTAACTTCCACAGTCATCTTGCAAACACATGTTTTCTATGACTGGGCCCCAGTATCCTTCACCTCCCTCACTTTATACCTTCACATTATTTCCTATAGCCCCAAGCTCTTTGTAAATCTTACAGATTTCAGATAAATTCAGTCTCCAATTCACTCCGATACATAGATTATTAGCTCTTTGAAGAAGCTAAGTAATGTGTATCAGTGAAAAAATTTTCTGTTCAAATTACAGGTTTTTTTTGCACTACTGAGACAAACAAGCGCTTGTCAGGGAGTGTAAAGTAGATGACGGATAGTGTATGATTGTCAAGTCTTCAACTGCTAACATTCCACCCAAGATTTCAAATGGACAGTGAGAGGTACACAAACCTTTAGAGAGTGAGGCCAGAGTGGAGTAGATTTATCAAATCACACAAGTTTGTTGTTTGACAGAAGAGTCACATACAATCCACCCAATCACTCAACAGAGAGGCTCGGTCACCCAGAGTCTGGGAATACATTTATCGTGACCGCATGCACTGCACTCTGAGTAATATATAAGGAGGCCATTTTAGCTCCCCCTCTAGCAGTTCAACATTGCTTTAATAATTTTGGCTGTAGTGCCAGCCTGCTGTGTACTGAGATGACACTTGGCCTGGAGAAGTCTAATGAAACACATATTAACCATGTTTACATGATACATTTCATGTCCGTAAACGCCACCTGCACACCCCCATGCTGGCCCCACCTAGCACTCATCCCATCCTCATGTGTGCTAATGCCTGCAAGTATGTATCCGTAACCCTTCATGTACACAGCTAATTGAGAAATAAAAAGTACAATGTATTTTATTTACACAAACCAATATCTAAACGAGTTCCTCAAATTTTACAATTAACCAGCAGTATTACTGCTATTTGGGTATGATACACACATACACACACGTCATATTCTGAAAACTGAAAAAAAAAAAAAAGACCTGGAACAAAAAAGAGACACAGAAGGTCTTGGGTCAGAAAGAGGAAATATCACTACTGAAGAGGGACACTGTGCCAAGTCCCAGTTGGCATCGAGGAAGCTCAATAGAAAGTGTGATATATTTAAAGGACAACTGTCATCAAATGTTCACTTCTTATTTATTAAATGTAATGACATTTATTTACTATTAAATTATGTATATTGATTTTCTTTGATAAATGTTCACTGTTTTATCTGACTGAGCAGCCATGTTATGCAAGTTAGGTTGAGCGGCAGTTGGTCAGATAATAGTAGAATCTGTCACAACATGGTTGTTAAGTTATATAATTTTTAAAAAATCAAGATATATCATTAAAAAAAATAATAGTCAAAATGTTAAACATATATCTGCACACCAGTCAAGCCACAAGACTTGCTTTTTCCACAGAAATCACACATTTGCAGTGGTGTTACTACCGCAAAGGATTCTGGGTGGGCATATGCTATTATTTCAACAAAGATTTAAATTTTTGCTTCATTATTCCATTTTAAACATGGATTCCTTGGAGTTACTGTTTGCTGTATACAATAGCTTTTAAACAACTCAGGAAGAGATGCAAAGCCAATGAAATACTCATGGACAGCTGTTTCGTTATTAATGCAACTCATCAGCATGAGGTCGGTTACTGGCTTGCTATGGAGACTTGCTACTTGCGAAGAAAAATGCAAGAAAGCTATTTAAAAAAAAAATTTAGTTTATTTAAATCTAATAGACTTTTAAAAACTCCAAGTGTCATTCCAATTACATTCATCCTGTGTCTAATAATGCACACACCTTACCACAGACACCAGTCTACAGATCAGGCAGTGGTTCCCATGGCAAATAATTTATATTATGTCATGGAGGTCCCATGTCCTTTCAGGACAGACTATGAATAAACCCAATGTATCCTCTGTGTTGAAGAGCTCTGTTTTCGTATGAATTCTATATGATCAAATAATGTTATATTTATTATGCCGTTTACCAGCTCAGGGCATTTTGGCAACAGGGTCCATTTTCAGCACACATGATGCCAGCATTATATTTAATTTTCCCTGCTAGTAATGATCGCACAAACTATCCCTCCCAGTCTCGTCAGGTCATAACATGATTGCATTCCATGGTTATTAGAGTATAGAAAACAATATAAAACCCTGCTCTCTTGTCTCTTTTTGTATTTAAAAGACACACAAAAAAAGCATCATTTCACGTAAATCCTCCCATTGTCTCCTTTTCAGATGAATTTCATTATTTCCTTGTATGGTCAGGCTGGATTTGGGTCCCTGTAATTCATAACCTCACTGTGAGCAAATAGATTTAAATACTTTTCTAATGGAGTTCTAAATTAGATAAATGGTCTGTAGGTAACTTCTAGACATAAGCTACTAGCCAGGCCTAAAATTTGTTTGACAACTCAAAATACATGTGGACAATGCGAACAAAATGTTGCTTGTTCACGGTGCGGAGTGTCAGTGTGTGTGAATACAGGGATGTATTTGTGTGGACTTCAAGTGTATAAGTGGGAATGTAGGGGTATATTTGTGTGGACTGCCAGTGTGTGTGGGGGAATGTAGGGGTATATTTGTGTGGACTGCCAGTGTGTATGTGGGAATGTAGGGGTATATTTGTGTGGACTGCCAGTGTGTATGTGGGAATGTAGGGGTATATTTGTTAGGACTGCCAGTGTGTATGTGGGAATGTAGGGTTATATTTGTGTGGACTGTCAGTGTGTAGGAATATAGGGGCTTATTTACATGCCTGTCAGTGTGTATGTTGAAGTGTGGGGGTATATTTGCATCGGCCATCAGTGTACGTGTGTGGGAATATGTACAGGCCTACAGGGGTATACTGTGTGGACTGTAAGTGTATGTGTGGGGGAGTGCAGAGGTGTTTTTGTATGGACTGTCAATGTGTGTGTGTGTGAATGCAGGAGTACGTTTGTGTGGACTGTCAGTGCACATGTGTGAATCCAAGGGTGTATTCGTGTGGACTATCAGTGTGTGAGGGAATGCAGAGGTATATTTGTGTGGATTGCTCGTTTAGCCAATTTTGGATCTATTCCCTGATTTACAGAAACGTATCTGCTACTTGGCAGAACTTGACATACAATCCAAATTTCATTATTCACCAGTATACACAAATATCTACTTCTTAGGAACCTGCAACATCCTATCATGTTTCACTGAATATTGGAGCTAAAATGAGACTTAGCATTAACCTTGCAGTTCATCTATGTGTTAACATTGAAATCTGCAGGAACATCAAACTGAGTCCAGCAAAATTACAGCTAAATGGTCGTTTTCGAAACCTTATAGTAAATAAGTGGGTTTTTTTTTCTATAGCATTGATCAGATTTTGGAGTGAACTATTGTAACTGGACAGAAAAGATCAAACCGCATTAAGTAAACTATAATCTGGTTATGCATAATTACTGCCACCATTTAATTACCCAAGCCGCAGACGGATCTCTGCGCAAACTAAGCGTTATTGCTCAAAAAGTAAGTCTGACGAGTGGAGTCCACAATTTATAATTACCACACCTTACCTATCAGTTTATAAATACCATACATTCCCCGAGATCAAAGGAAAATCTAAAGCAGGTAATATTTAAAAAAAAAAAACAGTGCTGTCTGCATCTAAATATTCATAGCCAGAATAAATGAATATTTTAAAGAGGTAAATGGAGGGTGAGTGGTCTACACCCAACTCTGTCTCTGTATAAAGTAGAATAGCAATTATAAATAGTGCTGCCAATATAGGATTACTTACAGATCACCCATTTGTTTGGGACACTACATTTAATTCAGGTTGATGAGTAGTAAATTAAACGTACAGCTCTTCATTAAGTAGAATTCATATTCCAGGATAATATGGCAAATCAATTAACCATAACCCCATGGATTGTGACAATATTCTGGATATAGTATTGGCTATACATATATAACTTGCTATGTGATGCGCGTATTTTCTACATCACTTATTAACACCAGGGACAAGTGGGCAGTTTATCACTGTTTCATTGATAGAATGTATGAGGACATTCGGGGTCACATAATCTGCAATCAATTCCTTTATATTGTTGTCTGGTTTGACTTTGGCTTATACTTTCAATAAATGCTTTATTTAGTAGTATGTCATATATTTAATGAAGTTCTACAAATATTACTAGTTTTGTAAAGTTTTTTTCTTTTTTTTTTATCAGGATAATTATTAGACCTTTTTAATAACTTGGTATAAATGTCTTAAATAGACTATTAAAGGAAGAATATTTGGAGAATCTTACTGTCATTTGATTTACTAAGTTCCACAATCACTCAGAAGTTAAAATCTTCACTTAACAAGGCAGTAATTAACAGTTTAGCCGTATATAATAAACAGTCCACTAAGCATCACCCGAACATCTAAACAACATTAAAACATCTAACAGCAGCCAAATGGAACAAGTATCTCAAAATATAAACCATTTAGTTACTGTCTAATCAATTCACCCTGAAAAACTCAACCCAACTTCCCGACACCATACTGCCCAACATCCATTCATTAAGCAATTAATCAAAATCTAAGCACCCAAAAGGACATGACCTGTCTTTTAAACACTTGGCCAAATGTAGACAAACTAGCATGCACCGCAACCACTGCCGAGGTGGTACGGACATTACCAACAAGTAGGTATCTCACAGGAAAAGTCTCTCTTGGACATGTCATACAAACCACAACATGATGGCAACCATGTGCTATGCACTACCTTGTGTACGGTGGTTATATTTCCATGTACGCCTTGACCTGTTACACGTGAGATTAAAGAATTAAGGAATTTACGTTGCCCCATACCGGCATACTTAAAGTTCAAGGTTTTCAATGTTTAGTTCACTGCCCTTGCTATCAGCTGGCTCTAAGGGCCCCTTACCTATGGCAGAAGGTGGGTAACGCACCTTCTATTATTATTGGCATTTATATAGCTCCAACATATTCCGCAGTGCATTACAATATTATAACCTAAAAGTTGACATGTCAGGCAATATCTCAAGCTACATCCTTGGAGCTCATGCATCACTCTGCACCCCATGAGAAGCCAGTTATCAGGCTGCTCACCTTCAATGGCCAGGGTCTCTGACACAGCAAGCAGAAAGGCCAGAGTCCATCCCAAGCATCTCCAGGGAGCCAGCATGGTGCAGCCGGGGAACCGTATCCCTCCTGTGTCTCCTTCTCGGGGTTATTTGGTGTCTGTCGTGCTGCGTTTACTATCTGTCTGCTCTGTCTCCCTCAGGTGTGTTTTAAGAGCACTCTGTAACCTGACTCACTGCAGACACAGAGATCTACTGTTGTGAGTCATGCTCTGATTAAGTGCCCAACCCTTCACATCAACTTCACATATACACAAGTCCCAGCCCCAAACTGCCTCCAACCTTATATTTACACACAGCAAGGATAAGCAGCCTCTGCCATCCCAGCTGGCTGAGCATAATGGGAGGTGTAGCAGTTGGGCTGTTAGAGACTGCCTAACCCTGAGAGGGAAAAGGCTAAAAGAACACGCGGGCCTGGCCTGGTTAAACAAGCTGTAGGGTGGTCGGACATATTAATAAAGGCAAAGAGCTAAATCAGGAGCAATCACCATGGAAACCACGACAACACTTAACATTGAGGGGGAGATTTATCAAGGCAAAAAAAAAAGTGCTGATCTGGGGCAAAGTGCTAAATAACAGGTAATCACCATGGAAACCAATAGAATGTGTCTGAACATTCAGCTCTTCCAACCCAAATTAGCCCACCTCATCCAAATGTTTTGGGATGAGGAACACTTAATAAATTATGACTTGCTTTAGTTGACAGACATTTTGTATTCTGAGCAGTTTTCACACAAACTCTTGCCTGTGTCACTCACACAGCCTGCCCTGAGGTAGCCTATTCACATAATGCCATCTGGCTGGTTTACAATATTGAATGTTATTAATTAATGTGTTCACTCTTGGGAATTCAAAGAGAATTTCCTATTTTAGGTAAAAAATTGTCAATATAAAAACAGTTTCCAATTCAGGTTATTTTAAGGTAAAATTGTGAAATTCACTTTTTAATTCTGTTTGAATTTTCCGACAAATCCCATATTAGTAAATTAATATGAGTGTCATGCTGATAATTGCTATAAGAATGCCTCACCATATTTAGCGTTTGTAAGCTATATACATGTTACATAGATGTACCCCTGTATAAAGAGTGATGGGAGTTACAGTCCCAGCATCTCCAGTGCTCAGTTGGTGCTCTATGGATGTGGTGTATGCAGTCAGTTATATAATTCACCGTAACTACACAGACCGGTATGATCAGTGATATAGTAGTATTAGTCTCTGATAAATGTGCCCTAGCTGTTATGTAGCCGTTATCTCTCCAGTACCTGTTCTTGCGTTAATATCACTATCTGAATTAACGGGTGCAGGAGAATCAGGGCAATTTTTAAAAAATGTTTTCCTACTACAATCTCAGAGTCACAGATTCAAAACCCCATGTGGGCACTTGCCATGGCATAAAATATTATATAGGTACGGTCAGTAGTGGGATTAAAAATTTTTAGTAACGAGTTCCGACTTTTCATGTTTCCAACTCCACATGGTCGGCCCAAGACATTGTGCTGCCTGGGACCAAGACTCCATCCCGCCCCACCCCCCAAGTAATGTGCGCACACACAAGCACCTCAACGCAGTCACACATATATGCCCTCGTTGGCAAAAACACATGGGCGACAGGGTAATGCTATTAATGCAATAAATGCATAAACTTGGTATATCATGCCAACGTGTGGCTCCAAAATGTCTGCTAGTGCCATCTCTTTGCCCTTAGCCTCACTGTGTCATATCTCTGCCACCAGTTTCTCTGTGCCATCTCCCTTCCATCTCTCTGCCCTTCGCCTCACTATGTCATTTTTCTCCCACCAGCATCTCTTTGCCATCTCTCTGCCACCAGCACACGGGTGACAGTTTGTGTGGGATGGTGAAAGTTTGAGGGGGATGGTGACAGTGTGTGAGGAGGACATTGTGTGGGATGGTGATAATTTGTGTGGAGGGTGATCGTGTGTGTGGGAGTTGACAGTGTGGGAATGGTGACAATATGGAAGGTGGTGAGTGTGGGAGGTGGTGACAGGGGGGGGGTAGCGTGTGGGAATGGTGGCAGTGTGGGGGGATGGTGACAGTGTGGGAAGTGGTGTAAGTGTGGGATGTTAAAATGTGAGGGGATGGTGACAGTGTGTGGGGTGATCGTGTGAGAGGGGGGCCGTGTGGAAAGTGGTGACAGTGGGAGGGGGCTAGTGACAGTGGAGGGAAGGTGACGATGTAGGAAGTGGTGACAATATTCAAAGTGGTAACAGTGGGGGAGGATGGTGACAGTGGGGGTGGTGGTAGTGTGTGGGGAGGCAGTGGCTTAGTGAAGTGTGTAATTTATTCTCTGGTGGACCAGTGGTATCCCTCCCACTGACTCTGACTCTGGAAAACTACATGGAGGGGCCCCACACCCGGCGGCATACAGGGCAAGCCGCCGGGACCCCTCACCAATTTTAATCACAGGTTTGGCGAACTTGTTACATTTTAGTAACAGGTTTGTGCAAACCGGTGTGAACCGGCTGAATCCCACCACTGGGTACAGTGCCCACAGCATAAAGACAAATCAGGGTAACGTGTGGCATTTCTTTCAGCAGTGCCATATATTACCCTGACGATCAGACACATGAAATCCTAATTATAGTTTGTTTCTTGATTTCACAGAAAAAAATAAATCTTACTCTCTCTAATAATACAAGACCATGCGTATGGCAAGGTTATAGGGGCCAGGCTAGGAGAGACAGGAGCTGCATGGAGGGGGCAGGGACAAGGAAGGAAGGAAAGGAGGGGGTGCAGGCTGCAAGAGCCAGCCCCCAACTCCCAGCATCCTCAGTCTGCAGAATGGTCACCATGGAAGCCACCCTCCAGCACACAAAAGATAGGAAACTGTAGGGTGGCTATAACTGTATATTTTGACCTGTATGTCTGTCAGCGTATGTGTATCTGTGTTTGTGTATCTGTATGCCTGTCAGTATGTGTGTGACTCTTTGTCTATATCTGTGTCTGTCAGTGTGTATTTCTGTGTGTCTGCCAGTGTGTGTGCGTGTATCGGTGTGTATCTGTGTGTGTGTATGCGTGCATCTGTATTTTTATATGGAATTGTTTACCTTTACTTGAAAAATGAGGCTCTAATAACTTATCTGCAGCAGGAAGAAGTTTAGACTTTCATTTTGGCTCTACCTACTGCCAAGCTATGCAGGTCTGGCATATAGGAATAGAGTGATGTTACTCTGTTCTGATGCCGCATGCTGGCAACAAAACCAACGTGCCAATGTCACTGAGGTTTTCCCTGCTTGGGGATGTGTCATGTATGGGTTATGGATGTAGGATAACAAATAATGCAGCCACAGGCTGCCCAATCCTGTTTTCCTTTTTTCTCTGTATACAACCAAACACTGCTCTGGCTTTTTCAACTGGTAGAGGTAGAAAAGTTCCCATACCTTGCATGGATTACCACTATGTGGTGACTGGACCATTCCTTTAATTACGCTACTCAGTGGTCCATAACGTATATAGCAAACATTCATCTCTAAGCTCCTATTGTGCCAAAGAAGATAAAGTGCTATATAAATACATTATAACAATATAGAACAAACCTAAAACCAGATAGACACATACTTTTTCTGACATTTAAGCAATTTTGGTTACTAAATTCTACAAACCTGTTTTAATTCCAGATATGTATATTATAATCAAATTAATGGAACTACTGTACTGACATATATTGTGAGAAATACTGTAAAAAAGTAGTATATACCCGGAACTGCCTCCCGATTGAACTGGAAACAGCTAGCAAAGTAAAGATTTGGAATGCTCAGGGCACAGGAAACTATTCTAAAGAACGATTTTGCAAACAGGGGAATGGGTTCTTAGACACTATGATAATACTGTTTACTTCATTTGCAGGTAGCCCAACCCTAGAAGTGTACATGGGGCGTTGAATTGAGGGCTGAAGCTGTGTGATACAGACAGGAAGCAGTCTGATAATCAGACATCACCTGAGGGAATGATTGGTGCAGGACTGATGAACCGCAGACCATGTCTGGAGGGAAGGAAGGCGAAGGCTGAAGTGAGACACCTCACACTGTGTACCCTGGGGCAACACAAACAAAACATGGAAGAAAGGAAGAGGTGTGGATGAAATACTCAGCTAGGTGTCACTGCCAAGTTCAACGTCACACATAGCAACAGGAGTGACAGCACTTTACTCTCCCAATAATCCACTTGCTAAAACTAGTTAGAATAGGAATGTACTAAATATGTTAAATAAATCTTATCATCGTACATAACAAAAATCTCTTAAAGGAAAAAAAGTATTTTTATTATTAACGAAAGTAAAATATTGTATTGTTTTATAATAAATATAAATTAAAAACTCTTTTTAGTGAATCTTTTGGCTTACCTTTCATCTATGGAGGCAGCCATTTTTATATATTTTTGGTCAGAAGGACCACCAGTTGTGGTGACCATGAGATGCTTAGTACTTGCACATAATGTCAGAATTCATAAAAAAAAACACGCTAGTTCATTTCCTTTATGGTTTTTAGGTTGGATAAGCTGCTTCTAACTAAAGAGGACCTAAACATGGCCTTGGAGCAAGCAAAGCCAGTTGATCAACTGAGAAGTATTTACTTACAAGTGTCTAGAACAAAATAACAAGCAAAGAGTCTGTAATACATGTAACATTTTACTTATATTAAAGGGTTACTCCAACCATCAGTGATTTGAAGTGGTCCTGGTGGTAGGAGTCTTAATGTGCGAAACACTGCACATATGGAGACATTTGCACTTGTATGTTGGGGGCTAGTTACACCCAGGGCAGGACTGGGGATTCCAAAGCAGCCCTGGAAAAAAATCTATGCCAGCCCCATAAGTCATTGCGCCATATATTGTCGCGTGTAATATGTAAGGCTATGTCTTGCCACCCTAGATGATTGAGATATATATAATATTGGTCCTTTCCGAGTAAAATTTGTAATTATACAGTAAGCATACTCACATGCACACACAGACAATCTCACTGACACAAGCTGATTGATACACAGCCTCATAGACAAACAATCTCACTGATATACATAAGGTCATTGACATAAAAACACAAGCTCACTTAGTAGCAGGCACACACACACATAAGCCCACTCACTAGCAGGCATGCACACACACACAGCTTAATGTAGTGGCTCTGGTGTCTATAGTCTGTCCCTGCAGGCTTTTCAATGTAAACACTGACTTTTTAGAGAAA